CCTCCCAGGGTTCCTATGGCTTCAACACCTTCTATCATTTCATCTCTGTTAGTGAGAATTAGATCCAAAATGGCTAATCCCCTAGTTCCCTTCTCTACTTTTTGGGAGACAAAGTTGTCTGCTAGGTTTGCCAGGAACCGGTTTGATCTTCCACTTGGTGCAGAGTTTGTGTCCCAGTTGATGTCAGGGTAGTTAAAGTACCCCATTACTATTGTGATGTGCTTCCTACATACCTTAGTTAGCTGACTAGCAAAAAGTTCATCTATTTCCTCTGTTTGGTTGGGTGGCCTGTAGTATACACCTATGGCAATGTCATAGGTGTATGATATGGGCAGGTTTCAAGGTCTGATGAAAGCTGACAGGTTTGGGCGCTCATCATATCTCCAGAGGGACAGTGTTTCAAAGAGCATGTGACAGAAAAGACTCTTTTCCTGGGTCCCCCTGATGGAACTCTTTAATAGAGATTCAATAGCATATCCCTCCACCCAGATCTGATGGTATGAGTAGACAAAATCAGGGAGAGGCAGCTACTATCAAGGTAACAGTCAGATAAAAGAAACAGAACATAACCCAAGAAAATGTCTCAGACAAAACTGTCCCTTGTTTATTCTCATGAAAATAAAGGGAGGGAGGGAGGGGGGAAGCTGCAGATTCTGTTACAGTAAGTTTATAGTAAAAGTAGTGCTGGCTGGCATGACTTTGGTTTCCTAGTATGGTCTGCCTTGAAGAACTGCCTTCAGAGGACAATTCTCAGCCAGGTGAATAAACTTAGATACAGTGGTGATGTGGTTGCCGTTGCAGGAGCTAAATAATTAAGGTTAAGGATAGATCATGAAAAATATCTAGATGGTCATTAAGAGTCAAAACAACTTGATGACAAATGATCAATCAGTTATTTTTTTGAAATATAGGATAGTCTAAATACTGTTTGAAATATTATTTGCCTCAGTTCTAGAAATATATATATATATATATTCTGTCAGCCATCTCCTTCAGCTATCTATTCCAAGTTGAATTTCACTTTGAGGAAAGAGCAAACATTTTAATTTCTGAATCGTAATTTGGTAATAACTTTATTAGGATTAACTAACAGTTTTCATGATCTCCAAAATTCTTCATTATGTAGGATGTTACAAAACATACACAGGCTGGAGAGGTGGAAATCCTAAGAATGAGACCAGATGCTATAATTATGAGGTGTGTGGCTATGAATTCTAGTCTTAGGCACAAAGCCAGCTAGGTGACTTTGGGCTGGTCACTTTTCATCCATATGAAGGAGGCAATGGCAAATCACTTCTGAAGAATCTTGCCAAGAAAACTGCAGAGACTTGTCCAGTGGATGCAAGTTTTAACAACAAAGCAAGCTTGACATTTCAAAACTAAGTGGCTGCTAATCAATTTCTAATCATTAGCAAACTTTAGGTTCCTTGTTCGACAGAAAAGAGAAACTTAACAGCACTTATATCAGCAAAGCCATTATTTTGTTGTTTGTTAGATCAGTGACAATATCTCCATTAAAGTCTACTGAATAGGTAGGGCAAAAACACCCCTTTCCCTTTTTGTCCTTCCCCTCCCCAGCAAACTGGATCATCTCTCCAATATAACTTTGTGCAAATTTTTGTGTTCTCTGTTTCAGCTCATCAGTGATGGTGGTGTGGTCTATGCAGAAGCACTCTGGGATCATGTCACTATGGATGACCAAGAACTAGGTTTCAAGGCTGGCGATGTTGTTGAAGTAATGGATGCTACTAACAAAGAATGGTGGTGGGGCAGGATAATGGAGAATGAAGGCTGGTTCCCAGCCAGCTTCATACGGGTAAGAATCTATGTAACCTTTCATCAATGAACTGGGGAGAGAAGTTAATTTGAATGCATCGTTGTGTGGTTTAAATACGGCTGCCTACTAGTTTTAATATATTTTTCATACAGCAATAATTTGTAGTTACCTGTCTTTATTTTTAAACTGTGTAAACATATCTTTGGATTTATACTGGATGTTTTGTATATTTCCCATGTTTATTGAGAAAGACAAAAAAAAAAGGTTGGCAATTGCATTAGTCCTAGAAGAACTATCACTTCCCATGATTTCAACACCATATCTCTGTGGATGCAATCCAAGATTGTTAATGATATCATTAATGTTCCCTTCTATACAGCAATAATTTGTAGTTACTTGTCTATGGTGCTTAGTTTGAGTGGAGGAGGAAAAGTTATAAACACTTGATGTATAAAACAATAACATATTTTAGGATGAAGATGCAGAGTTGAATATATGTTATACAGCTGTCTTATGTTTTTTATATAATATGCTATCATTTGCTCTGTATCCACATTAGTAAAGATACTGTTGGATAAGTACTTCCAATGGATTCTTTCTATACTGGAGATAAAGTCCTTGATTTTTTTCTAAGAAAAAACATTGATCAATGATCCTACATGGCCAATTACCTAATTTACCACCAAGTAAATACTTAACCTTTAATATCATAAATTGTGATATTGCACTGGACATTCAAGAGGTGCTGAAGTACAGGGATACAATAAGAGAATTTGAACTATGCAATTTTAAAAACATAGCCAGCTCCAATCCTTGAATTCTGGAACATAGAACCCTTCTTCACATCTGTGATATGGCCGTGGCTCATTACAATTACATCTAACTCTGTTACTTGTTCCTTCTAAGATGCTTAAAAGAGTTTGTTGTTCTTGAAAAAATAATTGAATGCAGCAGTACTACAGATATTGGAGAAAGGGTGATGAAAGTACTTTATTGGTTTTAGAAAGAAAGCAAAAATACTGTATTACTGTTGAAATAGGTGTACTAATAGCAAAACAGACAAATGGATTACTAGATGAAATGGAACAGAGATTAATTAGGGTTTTTTAGGTCCATACCGTAAACCAAGGCTTTTCAAATTCTTATTAGACAGAATACAACTCACAGGTTTGATATTTTTACATGGATGCCCAAACTCCACCTACCTCTCAGTAATTGAATAATGTTAAGATAATAATGCATATTTGATATAGCTCCGAGTAAACCAGGATGAACCAATTGAAGACTATCCTCTGAAGTTAGAAGACGGTCGGGAAGAAGATGGAAGAAATGCTGCTCATCGCTATGGAATGGGGCATACAACAAAGGATCAAATGAGAACCAATGTTATTAATGAAATTCTAAGCACAGAAAGAGATTACATCAAACACCTAAAAGACATCTGTGAGGTAATGAGACATATAAATAATATGTGTTATTTGCTAGTATCAACATCGTTTTAGACATTGTCTATCCCAGGGGTAGTCAACCTTGGCTCTTTTATGACTCGTGGACTTCAACTCCCAGAATTCCTGAGCTAGCACAGCTGGCTCAGGAATTCTGGGAGTTGAAGTCCACGAGTCATAAAAGAGCCAAGGTTGACTACCCCTGGTCTATCCACTGCAGGATGAAGGCCTCTTCATCCAACATGTTTCCAACCAATACGGTCCTGAGCTTTCTTTTGCCAATTGGGCCTGTAATACTTGTTGATGTCATCAATCTATCTTGTTTGCTAGTGTTCTTTGGTCAAAGATGTTGATTGGCTGATGTTTAAGAAAAAAATAAGAATTCTAAAAAGCTCTAGAAACATAGAAAAACTGACAGCAGAAAAAGACCTAAAATCGAGATAGGCTATGTCCACAGTACCACCTTCATCCAAAACATTTCTGACATAGTTTAAAAAGTCAGTCAGATTAGTTTGATGTGATCTGCCCTCAGTAAAGCCATCCTGCTTTGGTTCCATCAAGTTGTGCTCTCTTAAATGTTTGTCAATCCTTTCTTTCAGGAGTGATTCCTTTAACTTCACTATTACAGATATTAAGCTTACTGGCCTATTGTTTCTAGCTTCTTCCTTAGACCCGTTCTTGTGGATGGGTACAATGTTAGCTGTTCGCCAGAACTCATCCTTGAATTAAATATACCGCTGTCAATCTATTTCTGCTATACAAGTCTTAAGCTCTGAATCCTTAGGGAATCTTTATTTGAGAAACTACAAGAGTGTGACAATTTCTATGGGACTAAAAAGTTCCATTTAGCCTATGAGTAAATTTTAGAGTATTATTAGTATTAATAGTTTATTATAGTGAAATTTTTATTAGTTTTAATTATATGATATTATTATTATTTTTAGTATTAGTATTGTTTAACAATATTCTATTGTTTAATAATTAGGATACTAATTTGTTTATGTTTTAATTATTATTATTATATTTATGTTAAAGGGGAGTTAAAGCGCATTATGGACTTGGTTATTTATATAGTTGGTTAATGTTAGTTAGATTATGATTATTATATTTGTAACCCTGTATTCAGCTCTGGGAAGTGGGGGAGGGAGAGGGGGGGTTTAGGGTGGGTTGGTTTTGGGGTTTATATTGTAACTTTTATAAAAACTTTTCAATAAAAAAAAAAGAGTGTGACAATTTCTGCCACTTAGATTTTTTTGCATTGAATTGAATGCTTTATTTGGCCAAGTGTGATTAGATAGAAAAGGAATTTGTCTCCGGAACAGAAGATCTCAATGTACAGGCAAAGCAACAGAATAATAACAAACAAAATAATTATAATAATACCAATAAAAGGGGGGGGATAAAGAAGATAATAAAAAGGATAAAGAATAATACTGCAGTCATACTACATGGGTAAATACCCATAGACATTAGATACCAGTAGCACTGTGAGAATTAAGTGTTCAGCAGAGTGGTGGCACAAGGGAAAAAGCTGTCCCTATGTCTAATGCCCTATAGTGCCATCCCAAGGAGAGGAATTGAAACAGTTTAGGTACAGGATGCAAGGGGTCTGCAAATAATTTCTCAGCCCTCCTTCTGACCCACACAATATATAGGCTTTCTATGGAAGGCAGGCTGGTTACAATTGTTCTATCTTACCTGTCCTGTTTGGTTGCTGTACCAAATCTGACAATTATAGAAGTAGAAGTGTATCAATAGCTCCTGGGGCAGTCTGAGCTTCCTGAGTTTATGCAGGAAAAACATTTTTTGTTGTGCCTTTTAAATGATGGTTCTAATATTAAGTGTTCATTTCAAGTACTAGAAGATTATAGAATCCCAAAACTTGATCAACTAGCTATTTAGAACAAAAGGGAAAATAAGTTCAGATTTTTGCTGAAATATGCACATTTCCTTTGTGACTCATCATCATCCTATATAAATTTTTATCAGGAATCTGAAAAAACCAAACTGAATAAAATGCCAGTGAATCATTTTTTACAATTGTAGAGTATGTTTCTTTGAGTATGACATGTAGATGCAATTTAGTTTTATTTAATATAAGGCATGTATTAGGTCTGTCTCTAATTATGGGCATCTTAAAAGTAGAAGCATCAGACTTTTGAATTTTGAATACAGAAATTCCAGATTTGTTTTTATCATAGTTGGTCTTTTCATTGCATGTCAATAAGAGCTAAGTTGCTGTAGCATCATTATATTGTTCTTCTATCTATATAGCCTTTTGACTAAGACAGAGTGGAACTGCAGATTATTTTGACTCTGCATTACAAATTTTGACCCTTTCTAGGGCTATATAAAACAATGCCGTAAACGAGCAGATATGTTCACTGAAGAACAGTTAAAGACTATATTTGGGAATATTGAGGATATCTACAAATGCCAGAAAAAATTTGTTAAAGCCCTGGAGAAGAAATTCAACAAAGACTGCCCGCATCTAAGTGAGGTTGGCTCCTGCTTCCTGGAATATGTAAGTTGACATTTGTGCAAGTAAGCAAGCTAAGGGCCAGGTTTATCAGGTTCTGGAAATTGCAGTCAAGTGATTATCCATACCCCTCAGGTGCATGAACTTCATTCCAAGAATTCCGAGCAATGTCTATTCTGGACAGGAATTCTAAGAGAAAAAAACCTACACACCTGTGATGGAGTGGCTGATATATTAAGAATGCTCACTCCAAAGTTTCATTAAGCTCAGTGAACCCTATTCCTGGAAATTATATTTACAACCTCTTGTGGAACTCCAATTGAGAAAGGCTGGCCTAAGGCATTCTTTTATTGTCCAATTGAATTAATGTTATTGTTCAAGATTTCACATGGTGTTGTGTTCATTTATTTTAAACTATTTTCATTTGTATTTTGTGTTAGGCTGGATTATTGTGGTTTCAAAAATAAAATTGATCCTGTTCTCCATAATACAATCTTTTGGCTTCCAATTCAGCAAAATGAGTTCCAGATTTATTCGGAGTACTGCAACAATCACCCAAATGCTTGCATGGAACTTTCCCGGCTTACCAAAGTGAACAAATACGTCTATTTCTTCGAAGCATGCCGGCTCCTTCAGAAGATGATTGATATCTCTCTGGATGGTTTCCTCCTAACACCAGTGCAAAAAATTTGCAAGTATCCCCTACAGCTTGCAGAATTGCTGAAATATACCAATTCACAGCATAGGTAAGGAGAAGTGAGGATTTAAAAAAAAAAAATAGATAGAAAGAAAACTGTCATTATGTTTTAGTTATTCTAACAACTTTTGTTTATTGCCTACTGGTAACATCCCTTTGTAATTAAATTTAAGCAGTTTTTTTTTAGAGATCTAACAGGTTATTCATCTTGATGGGCAAATTTCATTCTTTTCTGATAGCATTTAAAAACTAGTTGCCTTGTAACCGAAGAATGATTGCAAGTGATTAGTGCAGGTTTGAGAAGCTCTTTCTATAAAATCCTGAGATTCTACCCACAATTTCCATTGCCTTTATCAGAAAGTGGCATAAATTGCAACAGAGATAGGAAAATAATAATCCATTTCCCTGCAGAATCAACAGAGTGAGGGAGGGTTAATGCTACTTCAACACTTGGAAAAACAAATTTTTAAGAACAATCAGCATAACTGACAGCCATTGCAAAGGTTTGTAGTTTAGAAAAATAATAATCCAGTATCAAAATGTTAAATATAGTATTGTTAGTTCTCCAAATAAGTAGAGAGAAAATCAAAATTGGGATGATTACATTTTCATTCTCTCTCTCTCTCTCTCTTTCCCCCTCCCTCCCTCCCTCTCCCCCCTTTTTCTCTCTCAAATGAGATAGAGGTAGATATATTTCATTCTGACCCATAATTTCCTTGCCAATTTCTGGTACATTGCAGTAGAAGGCTAGTTCTTTACATTTTTGTTCCATTTTTGCTCATATCTCTAAAGGAATCTATTTCATCTGTAGGGATTTTAAAGATGTTGAAGCTGCTTTGAATGCCATGAAAAATGTAGCACGGCTCATCAATGAAAGGAAGAGGCGTTTGGAAAATATAGACAAAATTGCTCAGTGGCAGAGCTCAATAGAGGACTGGGAGGTAAAATGCAAACGTCTTTAAAACAAGGAGCTACATGAATTATTCTTGCTTATGTGCACAAACTCATAACTCTTCTACTGGGCAAGGGAATATCATATACAGTACTATCTTATCCAAATTAATAACATTTTACATATTTTAATTGACGAATTAATCTACTATTTCTGTCTGCTTGTTATTAAATTAAATAACCCTATTTATAAGTTTGCAAATATTCCTATATGTTGTGGCCAAATGCTTAGCAATAAAAAACACAATTAAGTTTAATTAATTCTTAGTCTGAATTACAGTTACCCAGGAATGTTTTGACTGTAATTAATGCCTTCCAGTTTGTTTTCAAATGGACTGCATTTGTTGAAAATAGACTCTGCTTCTGTTTATGATGTTCTGTACTTCAGAGCCTTAAGTGATACGAATTGTCACTGTTTTCTTAATAGGCATCAACATAAGCACATCATATGGTCATTTGTCAAAGGATAAAAAAGTTGAGAAGTATTTTCCTCTATCTGAAAAAACAAAACAGGATGGATAAAGGGAAGATCTTCTTTTGAGCTAGTCATATACTGGCCACAATCTAACACAAAGTTAAATGCACTGAAGCTATCCACAGTAAATGCTGTTAAAGCTTTTGAGTAAATATGCAAGCCTGTACGTATATATTGTACATGTGCTTTGGATCTCCTCTCTGTTTGGATTGTGACCTTTTAGACACCATAAAAGAAGATTAAAATACAGAATAGATTTACTGTACAATTGGTAATCATATCATTTGGGGAAATAAAGTCAATTGTAGTTCAATAATAAAATCATATATCCCATGGGAATAGGAGACATACTTGTACCAAAATTCTGAATCTGCTCTGGGGTTGCTCAACTTCAGTGAGGCTTATTATCATTGAAGCATGCTTGTTTAAATGTAGCTCTAGAACAGTGGTTCTCAACCTTTTTAATGCCGCGACCCCAACTGGTCGTAAGTTGAGGACTAAACCGGTCGTAAGTCGAGGACTAAACCGGTCGTAAGTCGAGGACTACCCAACCGGTCGTAAGTCGAGGACTTTCCCTGCCCGGGAGCGCCACGCATGTGTGGTTCCGCCCCCTGCGCCGGCCGAGGCGTAGCTGGCAAGCGGCAGAGATGGAGCAGGCCGACCACCAGCTGGCCCAGCTCAAGGGAGGTAAGGCACCCGCCGGAAAAGGGGGAAAAATGGCGGACAAAAAATGGCGGACAGCCTTGCTTGGCGACCCCATGAAATGGTCGATCGACCCCAAATGGGGTCGCGACCCATAGGTTGAGAACCGCTGCTCTAGAAGCCCTTCTGCTCTGATTTGCCAAAAGTAGCATCCTCTAGTTATGTTGGATCACAGATCCCTTTATTCTCAAAGCACGTTGCTTCGTAGAAAATATTACTCCAACTAGATTATTTTCAACACTTACTTTGGGAAGCCATCTTACAGCCAAAAATCTCAACAAAAGATTATCCTCACTAGGCTTGAGTGAAAGAGCCATTTCAGTCTGACTTACATAAGACAGATGATGTAAAACCTATGGGAAGCCTCAGGAAAGTATGGCTTAGAGTAGACTTATTTTCAAAGTTATAGATACTTAGTAACTCCAACTAATTTTCTGTTCGCAACATCATTTGTCTACCTCTCCATAATAAAATACAAAATAAAATGATTGGCAATGATAAGTCACTTTATATAGACTGACTGACTTATGTAGGATTAATTGTGCCAGTTAGGTACTTCCCAAGTGGAGTCTTAAAAATAAGAATAGCTTAAAAAATAACACTAAAATCATCACACGTTGTTTCAAACACTTTCCATATTTCCAAAGAGCAGCGGAGAAAGGAAGAAAAATTGATTTAGAATAGTAGCAAACTTATTGCCACTTTTATGTGGATGCCCTGATTTTTAGTCTAACCCAGAGGGTGCAAAGTTGGAAGATGAATGATAAGACATTTGTGACCCTAGAGACTTTCAGTACTAAGCTGCTGTATGTTGCTTATCTTCTTCTGTGGAAAAGAAAGTGCATGCCCTTCTGTTTTGATTGACAGGGTGAAGACGTCCTTGTTAAGAGTTCTGAACTCATCTACTCTGGAGAGTTAACCAAAATTTCCCAGCCTCAAGCAAAAAGCCATCAAAGAATGTTCTTCCTCTTTGATCACCAACTTGTATGCTGCAAGAAGGTAAGCTAAGAGCTACTGCTGCCTCTGCCCACATACACTGTCTCCTGGTGGCAGCAAAATTACATCTTTTCTCAATTGCTTTTTAACATGTAGCATTCAAGCATTTTGTTTAAAGAACATGACAGTGTGTTGGCGGCTGACCTATTACACTAAGCATCACCATTTAAACAAATCAAGGAAAGAATCTGGGAGAGAGGCAGAGAGAGAACTCTACAACAATGCCTATAAGGCTGAAATTTCTTTCAGGCTGGCTTTCTGTGGATTTGTACTAAGGTCATTAATGAAAAAGCCTGCTGTGAACTATTTTGCAACGCTGCAGGAAAGTTACGTATTTAGCATTTATAAAAGAAAAGATGCAGATGAAAATGCTATCAAATTAAATCCACCAGAATTGCCACCCGTGTTCTTCCTTAGAATTTAAATTCTACTGATGTATGGTAAAACAAAGAATTCTACAAATATTTCCAACTAAATATGTATCCATCCAGTTAAGTGTTAAAGTACATGCCTAAGTGAGAATCCTCAAAGGATATGAACTGTGGTGGCAGAGTGGTTAGAATGCAGTATTGCAGACTAACTCTGCCCACTTCCAAGAAGTTTGATCCTAACCGGCTCAAGGTTGACTCAGTTTTCTATCATTCTGAGGTCAGTAAAATGAGGACCCAGATTGTTGGGGGCAATATGCTGATTTACAGAGAGTGCTGTAAAACACTATGGAACGATATATAAACCTGCTATTCTATAAAAGAGCAGATGTTATAAGAGATATCATAATTCTTACATCAGTGATGGTGGATCTTTCCCTGCTTTATTTGTTTAGCCAGTTTTTTTAAAAAAAAAAATACAGTTAAAGCTTAATGCTTGGTCCAGTTATAATATTCCAACTCCATTCTGTGGTCATGTGAACAATTGCCAATCATTATGTAATACTTTGAAAACCCACTAAGTGGGTGATAGGGGGAAGTTGTGTATAACATTGTACATACATTAGTCAATAGCCATAGCTTAATTGTTTCTTGCCTATGCAGATGTTCATACACACTGTTGTATTTGTTGATATTCAAGACATAGATAGTAACATCAGTATATAGCACCCAATCTAAAAAAAAATATAACTTTTGGCCTAAGCTCCCAAAATTAATAGTGACTTTCTAAAATTGCTGAATTTGTAATCAGATTAATAAAATGGACTATTTGAACTTCTAGATTTATGCAAGCTTTAAAGAAACCTGGGTGTTGCATTTTTCCTTCCCTCCCCATACCTCTCATAGCTAGTGAGAAGAAGCAATCCATTTAACCAATGAGCATATACAAATTCCTGGAGTACTGTATATCATAATTACTCCCCTAAAGTGGCTATCATGGGAAGATGTGTCTCTTTACAAAATGGTTGCCATAAAAGACAAATTAGTGAGAATATCGTTACCATTTCCTCTAGCCCTTCAACATGTCTGCATCCCTGCTTATCTTTGTCCTTTTCTAGAGCTCTGCATAACTTTTGTATGTAACTTATTTTTATTTCCCAAGTGTCAATGGTGGTATGAGCTATTCTTATCAATAAAAATGTTAGATGTGGTGCTTTCCTGTGTACTATACATCTTTTCATAAAATACAATCTTGTTTAAGTGGTAATATGTCAGTATATAAAACAACAAAAAAGTGTTTTTATGCATTTTTCTACAAAAGTATACCTCCAAATATCTTATATTTACAAAACAAATCACATGAATAGGAAATTAATTATAGGTAGGTGTGGATAGTGAAAGAGTGTGGTTCAGCGGTGAATGTCTCTGATTGGACTGAATTGGATCCACATCAGTGACCCATATTGATATTCCCCCTATGTGGTGAGTGTTGGAGGCACGAACAACTGGGAGTGGTTGTTTATGGTGTCAGCTGTGAGAATGGGATAACTGGAGGTGGGCGATGAGGGAAGAGGGAAGGTGGTTCCAACACAGTTGTGACAGACAAAGGAAAATAAGACGGGAGGTTGAGGGTAGGTTGCTCATCTTTATGACAGGATTGGTGCCAGCCATCATCCTGGTTATTGGATCTTTGGTGTATATGGATTCTGGTTGTGGCTCTTGAATACCAAATTGTAATAAGAACACATTCGTGATTAAATTATGGATGAGGCAGCCAAACTGGCATCATAACAAATGCCTGTGTGGCCTTAGAAGGGAGAGTTTCCTTTTGGAGATAATGCTATCTGGGTTTAAGTTTAGCACCAGCTGTAATTACAGGGCAGGGGTGGCTGGGATGCTACTTTGAGGCCTTTAAAACAGGGGTTTCCAACCCCCAGGCGGCAGCCCACTACTGTGCCATGTCCTGTTCAGAACCGAACCACCAGGCAGGCTTGTGCATGCATGCAGCTCCACTTGTTCCAACTAATGGACCCTGCTGGATTCTAGAGAAAACTTGGAGGTTTTCTATAGGATTCAGCATTTCTTTTAAATATGACCCATTGGGGAGGGATGAGGCTGTTTGTGAGGAATATGCTAGGGATTTGGCAGATAATTCAGATTTGTTCAGAGTAGGGCTTATCTTAATGAAGTGAAGAAACAAAGCCCTGCATGGTTAGCTGGAATGAGCTTCAGGTAGTAGCTCGTGAAGAGGTGGACAGAATCCTCAGTATTGCTAACCCAACCAACTGTTTATTTGATCCATGTCCCTCCTGGTTGGCGAAGGCCTCCCAGGTGATATATGATTGGTTCCATTAGATAGTATTGGCTTCACTAAAGAGATAATCTATTTAAATATTAAATATTAATACCAATCTTTGTCAATATCAACAAGCAATTGCCCTTGTTGCAAAACAGAATTTTCTTCTCATTTTCTTCTCATCTAAAAAAATCTTTTTTAGATTTTTGATTTCCTTGGATAATTGAGGGGTTTCAAGACCTCAAGCTTGCAATAGTAACATGATTGTAGAGCTGATTTACTTTACATAATTTGCTAATTTCTTCTTTCCTGCTTGGAGAATTTCATATCCAAATAGCATTCCAGTCTTTGAAGGAAAGAAAAGAGTAAACTAGTAGGACATGTCCTCATAGAACATACAATCTATCTACAAGATTATCAGAAGAATTTCTTGAAGTGGAACATTCACATAATGATTTGGTATATACTTCCTTTAGCAGTTGTCCTTGAAGTATATATCAAAGTATATTTAAAAACAGAAATACTTTGTCTTCAGAGAGCATTTTGGACCAGATGCTTCCTAACTTAAGTAAATGTTCTTCAGAACTGTATGAATTTCTTATAGTTTGAATCATTCTAGAGACAAACTAGGTATCCATATGACTATAGCAAAATATCTTTTAGAAGCAGAGTTTGTAGGCAATCTATTTAGGCAATCTTACAGTGTAAGGCTATTTTGGACATTATTTCCATAATGTCTTGCCTTTGGCTATGCTGGCTGGGGTTTAGGTTTTAGAACTTCTGAATGGCACCTCCCCTCGCAACTAAGTGAAATCTCCCCCAACTCTTTCCTGGAAAAGGAATTTAATGTAAATCCTGAAAGTAATTTTTGTTTCAGATAAGGGTTAAAAAAAACTCTGTACCATTATTCTGTACATGGGAAATCGGTGTTCTTTGGCTAACCATTGTTGCATCTGAGAAGTGTGCACTAAAATATTTCTTTTTTTTTCCTTAGGATCTCCTACGTCGTGACATCCTCTATTATAAGAGTCGGATCAACATGGATCTTATGGAGATTCTGGATGTGGAAGATGGAAAGGATAAAGATTTTAATATTACTATTAAAAACGCATTCAAACTGTATTGCCAGGACACTGAAGAAGTTCATTTATTCTGTGCAAAGAAACCAGAACAGAAGCAACGCTGGCTCAAGGCATTTGAGAATGAAAGGAAGCAAGTTCAGCTTGACCAGGAAACAGGTATGCAATAGCCATGAACCATCACTGTGAGCCACTATGATGAGAATGTCTTTCACTGAACTTTCCTACACCTTAACTATGTATTAAATTTTTAAAATGTTCCCACTTTGTTATTGACTCTACATTCTCAAGAGTCACATACTGCAAAAATTTCTATCACATATAATTTTTGAATTTTTCAAGTGCTTATTTTATAAATCTAGTTTTGCAGAGTACTCATGAGTAAAAGACAGAGAACAGTGGCCCTTAATATGCTGCGGAGTTATCAGTGAGTAAGGCAGCCCTCAACTTATGATTGGTCGCTTAACAAAGTATTTGAAGTTACAACAAACTGGAAAAAAAAGTTCATTATGACCCATCCTTGTTACAATTGCCATGCCACCTCAGTGGTCCTATGACTGCATTTTGTGGGCTTGGCAACTGATGGCATTTATGGATGGCTGCAGTATCATGTGAGGGTTTTTGCTGTTTTCTGGCCAAAAAATTGAACTCAGATTTATGATTACATGGTTTACTTAACAACCAAGGTAATTCACTTAATGGCCATCATAAAAATAGTCGTAAAATTGAATCCAGTCACATAATGACTCAACTTACAAATACCACAACTTACGACCAAAATTCTGGGCTCAATGATGAACATAAATCAAGGACTACCTATATGGCCAACGATGAGGAATGCTGAGAGGCAGAGCCATAGGATTCCCTAAATTAGTATTTTCCAAGCTAATGCACTTCCAGTCTGTTGGGTCTATAACTCCTAGAATTGCCAGCCAGCACTGTGAATTGTTAGGCTGACAGGGAATTATAGGGATTGTAGGCTCAATATATCTAGAGTACATCAGTTTGAAGAAGACTGCAATAGCATATCCCTTTATCTGGTCCCATGGAGACCCATTGCCTGCAGCAACCTTTTAGCCTTACAAATTGAGTTCTTCCTCTTAAAAAATCCTTCCTGAAAACTAGACTGTTTTCTGAACAGTTTTAGTCTAATTTTTTCATAGTTTCCATTCCTATCGCTTTCCTTCTCAGACCTTAATCTATATTTGTTAATTCCTATCTCCTCTCCTACATTTAGTTAAGGACTGCACAGACTGTATGTTCTTTACAATACTTATTTGTGGGAGCTGAACAAAATAGTACCTTAATTAGATTGTTATGATATACAATATGGACTTTGGAATAACAATGAACTTATTCTGGAGATATAAAATTGAACTGCTTGGTATAGTTTCTATTGCACACATTGGGATTTTCTGCTTGATATGCCCCTTGTCCTCCCCCCCCTGCATATGTTTACATTACTTAGCTACAAAAGCCTAGCTGGATTAACAGCTTCTCTTTCATGTTCAAGGTTTTTCCATCACTGAAATGCAGAAGAAACAAGCTATGCTTAATGCCAGCAAACAAAATCAGAGTGGAAAGCCAAAAGGCAAGTCAAGAGAGATGTCTGCCCTCCTTGTTCACCTCTCCCCTAAAATAAATATCACAGCTCAATGGCCTAAAATTATTTGAATTAATAGCCTATGATCCAATCCTTGGTTATCTTCAGAAGCTGCAGTTTTAAAAAAAAGATCTATTTAGAAGCCAAGTAATTACTTTAGAATATTTTGGCTTTATTTGGTGGTACAGGAATCAGAAAGGTAACATCTTTGTCAAGCTGAACTTAATTCCAGGTAACCTCAAGGCCATATCCATGTAATTTTCATGGCAGTAATTAGGAAACACTTTACCACTGCCTTCCTGGAGAATGTGCTTTTTAACATGTCAGTCTAGACCAGCGTTTCTTAAACTTCACAACTTCATGTGTGGATCAACATTCAGAATTCCCCATGACTGGGTTATAGCTCCAGTATTACTTAGACATCCCCCAGACAAATAATAATTAAATTGACTTTGCCTAACTTTTGAGCCTAGACAGGGTTGGCTGGATGCTGTCCCCTGCTGGGGCAGGAAAGTCATAGCATAGACTCTTTTATTGAAAATAGTAATGCATGCAGGATTTTACATCATCTTGATTTTACTGACTTTCTAACTATTTTAAAATGTGAAGATGGAACTTGGTGGGCCTTTCTAAGTCAAATCTTCAGCTTTGCCCCACCCCTCCTGACTGAACTATATGTAAATGCCAGAATTTTGCTCATCATTCACCTTTCTAGTAGGGAAGTGTTTTAAAATTTTGAATGTAATGAGGAGACGGCACTTGTCTGGAGAAACAGGAGACATGCAATAAGTACTAAGTTTCTCACATGTCATTTCCAGGGTAAGGACAAGCTGGACTCATGTTTCAAGCTGCTTAAATTGCATGGTAGGCATAAGATCATTAGTAGCCGCTTGAATTGTAGCAGTGATACACACTGCAAACTGAATTAATTGGAGTCTGTATTAAGAGTATGTTAGTTTCCAAAACTCAGATATGACAAATCTTTAATTGCCCGTTTTAAAGAATACTATTTTTCAATTTGACATCCTAATGTGTTTTGGGTTGTTTTACAACATAATAATTAGGCCCCGTATCCCAGAATAGCTATTACTACTCTGGCACTCTCCAAATGTACGGCAAATGCAAATTCAGTAGGAGTTGCGGTCCCACCACATCTAGAGGTGTGAGAGTGAAGAAATCTGGTAAATAAAGTTTTGAGAGAAATAACCGAGAAACAATCCCAAAGATGCTTGTTTCTAGAGGCAATGGGATTTTCTTATTTTTCTTTGAAGACATTTTGCTTGTCATTCAAGAAGCTTCTTCAGCTCTGACAGGATGGTGGGGAATGGATGAGAAACGAAACGTCTTCAGAGAAAAACAAGAAAGTCCAGCTGTCTCGTGAAAAAAGCATCTTTGGGATAACTATGACCTGGATGACTGAGAATCTCCACAGACATAAACCGAGAAACAACCTCCAGACGATGTAGTCCTCCCCCTTTCTTCCCATGTATTCACAGTAACAGTCTGCTGCTGAACAACAATGTTTAAAGGTTGCAATTTGAGTAAAAAGCATATTGAGAATGGGACACTCCTGTTCTCAGAGGAGGCAGAGCAGAAGATACAGCTATAAAATATATTTTTTTTCTTTGCTCATTTCATCAGCAGTGATCACTAGGACATACTACGATTTCTTGATGCGCCAGAAACACCCTACTCTGCCTACAAACCTTCCCCAGCAGCAAGTCTTCATGCTGGCAGAGCCCAAACGCAAACCTTCAAACTTCTGGCAGAATATCAGCAGGCTGGCACCGTTTCGAAAATAAAGGGAGGCAGCCTGACCTTGTGCCTGAATCCCTTTTGAGACAGCACTTTATGCTTCGTCCTGCAAGCCCAAGCACTGCCTCCACCTCTGGCTTAGCATCCTCTCTCCCCCCACCACCACCCCCGACTCCTTTCCTTTGGATCAACTGGAAGAGCTTCAAAGTGTTATGATCTGTTGTGTACGTGTGCATGTGTGTATGTGAGTGAAAATGAACTGAGACTGCCCATACAGATGAGTACCTAGAAGACGGATGTCAGAATATATGTATTTTTTAATTCCTTATTTTGTCCCTTTTATTCTGGACCACCCTTTCATCTGGGAATCTTTATTTGAGGAGTCAAAAAGACTGACAGGAAAAGACAACAGTAGATGAGCAGCTACCACCACTTCTCGGTCATTTGCTCTGAGCAGCTGTTTGACATTCTTACTGGTGCCCATTTTCCTGGGATGATGAGTTTCTCCCTTCCTCTTATCCAAATTTTCAGAAATCCAGAACAGCCTGAACATTCCCAGAGATCAGACGTCACCTTCTCTTATGTCAAACAGCTGATCTGGAACCAGTACTTGATTAACCAGCCTGAAGTGTGGCTAACAGCCAGGACATTTTTAGTCTAATTGAGTTAATGTATATAGGGGAAGGGAAATGAGCCTAAATTACCTTTTAATTTCTTTTACTTTCTATAAATTTCTCGTAACTCCTGGCCAACAATACTTTTTTCAGTGTTTATAAAATGTTTATTTATGTAACAGTGCAAATAACTGTATTTTGTAAGTTTGTAATCTGTCTTGTCAGGTTTTAACTTGATGCCTCTTTTGCCTCTTCTTTTCCACCGAAGAAAGCCAACATTTGGAAGCCTGTATCATCCTTCCACAACTTGATGTCCTCTAATTGTGTGGAAGTCCCATTCCAAGAATTCCAAAATAGGTGCAGTGAGCTTTTGTGGACTCTGGGAGTTACAGTCCAGGTATATCTAGGAGGCACAATATGGAAGAAAGGCTGACCTATATTCCTAAAGATACAATACGTAGATTTATCTAAAGATTAATTTCAGACATGCCAGGCACTTACAAATTAAGCAGTATTATTTTGAACTATTATCACCTATGCAACACTCTGCAGAGGAATTGAGGGTGCGTAAGACAGGGACACAGATTCGCCAATTTTTATGGAGAGTGTATATTCAGATACTAACCACTTAAAATTGATGGCACTCTCTCTCTCTCTCAATATAATCTTTGGATTATTAGATAAAGTTTTGCCTTACAATAGTGAAATAGATAGAAGCCATAACTGACTGAATCCCATTGTTTAGGGATTTCCTGGTACTGTGAAATTAAAGTGAAGAACCCAATCTACCCTGGCATGACATTACTCCAGGGGAGTGAGCATTCAGCAGTGTGATGCAAAAAGTTGCAGGGTCTAACTGTAGCTGACCAGCCTTCAGTTATAGAAAGCTAGAAGCATGTACAGAATCATTCTTGCACTTTCTCTTTCCCTCTTTGGAGGGGTTACATTTAATTTCATAAAGAAAATTGTAAAACTGACTTTCACTCTGTGTCTTTTTTTCTTATGCAAAAATGTCTGGTAACCCAATAAGCATGTCCTTTGCATTTGATTACCCTTAAATGAACAACTAGTAGTTTGACTTGGAGCAATCAGCACAGTTTTTATTTCATACTAGATGTATCCTTGTGGTTTAGTATGTATCATTATGTATCTGTAGTTCTACATATTGAAATGGTAGTTTCATTCCCAAGAAAACCAAACAATATAGGAAAGGGTAGGATAGCAGAAGCATATATCCAAAGTTTCTAGGCAGTCAAAGCTCATCTTTTACCTTAAAAATAATATACGAATAAATTAACATCTGGTCATGCTGAGTCTCAAATAGCAATCATGTTAATTATGCCCGTCACTCACCCTTGTGTTAGTATATGAATACATACATCAGAATACAATTTCAACAGATTCACAACGATCAGGGAAAGTTGCAAAGATAATGGCTAGATATTTTGTCTTTGAATTAACACTCAATTGTCATAACTACATAATCATATTGTTTTCTTGCCATAATGCAGAAATGGATCCACTGTCTTCTAGGATAACTTTTCAGCTTTCCAATCCAATCTACAGTCCTGGAATTCCTTCCATCCCCCACTCAAATAATCGGGTCTGAGATTTACTAATATTTTTTAACATTAGTCACCTTCAGACAAGTGCTGTGTCCTGCTGCAATGCTAACACAATATGCTTAGTTTGAAAGCTTGTTCAGTAGGCACATATTGCCACAAACACACTTCTCATCAGATGTTTTAACCATTCTTTGAGACTTTCCAGGTTGCCTGAACCTACTACTATCTGGAAATTAGGAACTGTAGTCTGTAACAAAGCATTCCGGTTTTCCAAAACCTAAAGTGGTCATTCTGATTAGAATGATATAATGAAGCATAAAGCTAATTAAACTGTGATGTGGGAGAGATAACATTTATGCACTTGTTTGACGTTTTTTTGTAAAGATAATATGCTAAGGTTGCAGTTTAATCACTCAAGAATACAGCAAGTAGTAAAAGAAAGCTGGCAGTGATGCTAGTGTCATGGCCCAAGGTATTTTTATATTTATATGGTTACATTTAAAACCTCAAAAGTCATTGGTTGCTTCCACAGTAATTGAGAGGAATAACAGATGAAAGTCTGAGTCAGGTGAGACTTCCACAAATTGAATGGAATGTACAGTATTTTAACAATACTACAATTTCACAATTTTGTTTTTAAAAAGCTATCATACGTACACAGCCATAAACATTGTTCTGAGATTATCTGGAAATAGGCCAGATTTCAGAACATAGTGCGGTTTCTTTCATTTAAATGGAAAAACTTTATTGTGTTTTATTTGGATAATTTTGACTTAGATAAATGAATTTGCAAATTATCTCTTGCAGGAAAAGGGGAAAACATATACTTCTTAATTAGAAAAGAACAGTAAACTATTCTTCAGAAATCATTAACAAAAATAGGATAAAGTATATATCAGAAGTTCTCCATATTGTCTGCAAAAGATGTAACTGAAAAAAAATTCTCTAGAATGACTTATTAGAGGCTGCAATGTACAAATTATGTTTTAGTTGAAAGCATTTGTCATATTTCAAAGCATTTTGTGAAACGATGCAATACTGTATGAAATTGATTACTAGTTTTAGCCTGCATCAGGGGTGTCAAACTGCGAACCCATGGGCTGGTTGCATCATGCTGAGGCCGTGCCCACCCCAACCCTGGCAATGCAAAAAGTCACGATACATTGCAACATGCAGTGGTGGGATTCAGCCGGTTTGCACCACTTCGGCAGAACCGGTAGCTAATTTTTTGTTGCCCAGGCCCAGAATGGACTTCCAGAAGTGGCATCTACCCAGAGAACCGGTTGTTCACATATTTGAATCCCACCACTGGTGACACATCATGTGGCGTGGCGAATTTGACACCCGTGGCCTACACCACAGCCTCCAACCTAAATTAGGGGTCCAGTGGTACTGTAATTGCAACACAGGCAAGGCTATAAACTGCTCTATATAATAGTAATCAGACTTGAAGAAAGGTAAAATAAAACCATTAACACATAGACCAATTATTTTTGCTTGCTGCTTATCTTTCAAAGTCCTGACCAGTGATCTGATCAGCTTAGTGCTTTGCCATATCTATTTCACCTCACATTCTTCTAAATAGATGAGTTTAGCATTATTCGCATCAAATAAGGAGTATGGCAAATAACTGGTCACTCTACTTGGCTTTGAGCAGGCTTTGCCTTGAATTCTAGGCCGCACACATTTAAAGATTCAGAGAAATCAGAACAGGTTCAGAGAAAGATGATGAAATTAAGCCCTATGAAGAGGCTGAAAGAACTGGGTGTGTGTACAGCCTTGAAAAGTTGACAGTGGCATTTTCCAAATATCTATTCTACCCCATCCCAGTCACTTCTTTGTGAGATGAGCAGCTATATAAACTAGATAAATAAAAGTCACAAGTGACATGAACTCTGAATTCTCATTAGGGAGTGCATGGCACGGAACAGATGTAAGTTACAGGAAGGCAGATTGTTAGAAAAAGTTTTCATTTGATAAGAACCAATTACCTGGAGGGCGGTGGGTTCTCTCTATTGGTTATTTCAGTGGTTAGGTAGGCATGTTTCTGGAATGCCAATTTAAATCCCTACCCTGAATAGGCAGCTGAACTTACTGACCTAAATTATTCCTTCTAATACCAATCCCCCTCCCAACTTTCATTAAACATGGTAAAATTTCAATTCTCTAAAGTATGCGAAATTTAAAATTAAAACATTTATTGCCAAGAAAGAAAAAAAATCTGCTAATCTCACTTTAATATTTTTCTTTCGTTGAAACCTGCAAATTGTTTTAAAATTTTATGGATGGCGTAAGATGTGAATCAAACTACTGTTCCTTAGTAAATTAGAGACAAGTAATGTGAATTCCTTCAGATGTTTTAAATCACAATTCCCACAATCCACTGTTAATAGCTTTGCTGGCTGAGACCGATAGCAATTGTGATCCACAACTTGTAGAATCTGCCAGATTGCCTATCTGTCAGGGATGAACAGTTTCTAGCAAAGTGCAGATTGAAAGGCCTAAACATCATTTAAATGTAACAACATATTTTGAGGATTGTAGTTGCAAAAGAAAAAAAAAAACAATAAGCAACACAGTCAATCTTTATTGAAAACTGAAGTATTAATACATAACAATTCCTGTTACATAAACGTGCTTTTAAGAATTTAACTCTGAGCTCATCTACTCATTCGATTGTATAATAAAAATGAATTTTACACAATTGGCTCAGAATGGAATTGCCACTCCTATGTGTTGATGCAAAAGATGTGATGCTTTAAACTTCTGGAAGACAACATTGACCTAAACTTGGGGAAAAGTACCAATACAACTGTTTTAAGACAGTTTCTTTTTTTTAAAAAAAAAAGTTATATAAAAAGGAAACCTGTGCCTATTTCATAACAACACTATTACTGGGGCCTCTTGCACTTCTGTTGCATGCACTCCCCTTTTCACCCCACAAGGGCAGCCAATAATAGCACTACAATAAAATCCCACTAACAAATCCATTCTACTAAAAACAAGTTTGTACAGCAGCAAGCTAAGTGAAGCTTCCACAGTTTGCTTGCTAAGTGCTCAAAAGTCATATCAGATTAGAAAAAGTCATATAGATACTGATGACAGAGAATTGGAAGTCAAACTGTTCAGACTATCTTGGCATGTTAAATTGGCTCCTGATATTGGGATGCTCAAATAGCTCCATGTCATTTTAGAAAGAGTGCCCATTTCATTTAAAATAGCTACCTCAGTATCTCATAAATACCAATGTCTTCGGTAGGCTGAAGAGAAAATTCAAGGATAATACAACCCCTCCCCAGTTACTTGTCGCTTGCTGTCTTTCAATCTCTACTGACAGGTTGAACAAGAATTAGATGTTTAATATAAATGCAGCTCCCTTGCTGCACTGCTCTCTCCCTTTTGCTATTATTCCACATGGATGGGATTGTTAGATATACTGAGAGTGACTACAGAGGAAAAAATTGAGAGGGAAAGCCAAGTGCAAACAAACACTGCACAGGTTAAAAACAAATCACAAAGTGATTTCTAGATTGGGGCTCAGTGTTTGCAGGCAGAGGCAGAAAGGGAATGTACTAAATTAGCAAACCACCTAATGCAGAATGCAATATTAAGCTTCACTGTCAGAAAATGATTATCAATATCTTTTTTTTTTCTTGCCCCAGAACAGACCCTTAGTGTTGGGTGTTTGCTTCTTAGAATCAACAGAACAATGTAATACAAACTAGTTGAAAATGTTTTGCTTCCCTGCATTTTGACTGTAACAAAATTAATTTAGTTTTATAATGCCAAAACCGAGCAATAAGAATGCTCAGTAGAAACACATAAGAACAAAAGGTTTTCCCTAATAAATTCAAAATTCTCCACTGAAGTTAAAATGACTTTGCAATGGTCATGGAATATTGACTATATGGAATCTGTGCCAAGTTTTAGTCATGACAGATTAAAAACTCTGCTCTCACAGGGTTACATTTCAGGAATCCAAATAAAGCAAAACTTCTTCCTTCCATTATCTCCATCGTGGCATCAAGACACATTTTGTGGTAATGTATGAGCTTCTCAGAGTATTTCAATGTATGTCTACAATAATATTTTAGTTATACATTTATTACCTCAATTAAAAATGGGAGATTCAGTTTCATGTCAGTTGGTTAGCATTAATACCACTGATTACATCTACAAGTATTTCTTGGCCAAATATAAAGTAGAATGTGTCTATTTTGCTATTTTCAAAAAAAAAAAAAAAAAAAGACACTTCAAATATTGTGTTATCTAGTTTGAAAATGTCTCCTAAACAATGCCTTCAGTATTATTTAAAACCTAGCCTTTGAAATTAAACTCAGATCTTTTGTTTTCTCTGTTATTGCTGTAATATGTTACTGTATTCCCCTCTAGAGCTGCATTTGTTTGAAAGCAGCTTGATTGGAGCCTTGTCTCTGCTGCATCAACCTCCTTTGAAGGAGGAGTTTCAATGCAGCTACATACTAAGAATCAGAGGCTTTACCTCACCCACCCTCCCATATAGGAATTCTAACCAGGGAACTAACAGCCAGGAGGAAAAAAAACCCACAATATCCTGTCTAGTACATCCATTTGAAGTACAAACTTTGTTTCATAGTCATGCTTTTTTTAATTATTTGCAACAATATACCAAGCTATATACATCCTCTCATCACTGTGCTTTTGGTTACTTTCCTACTGACGCGATCGGAGGTATGGACTTATCTCCAATAAAATATCATTGCCCCCTCCCCCCAAATTCTGGAAGGTGCAGTAATTTTTGCAAGAAGTACTATTCCTCAAGGGAGAGCATAGTACTATTCCTCCATTGCAGATGAATCCCATAACACAACTCAGAAAAAAGTGCTCAAAGTCTGATTACCCTAAAAGCTGTTACTATCACTGTATTTTTTTTTTAAAAAACAACAACAACAACAACCAAGGAAGTATTTGGAAACTGAAACTTGAGGAAAATCAAGTACAATTTATCTTTACCATTTACAAAGTGCTGCACTGGCTACAGACATCAGGACATTTATATAAAGAGATAAGCTTTTATTTTCAACATGTCCCTGGCAAAACTATTTTTCAAAACTCACATGTGTGATAATGTGGCAAGAAACATTTAACTTTAAAAGCCTGCTACACTGGCTGAGTGTCCATACTGAATAATTGATAAGTTTAAGGAGCACTCTTCAGAATGACGACAACGTCACAAATGGAATAGCTAAGGAGACCCAAATGGCAAGAAAGAAAGAATTTGCTTGTTCTATGGATACAGAACTTTCTCGGCTGCAATAAGTGCTCAAGATTAAAATGTAAGAATACATACGATTATGTTGTGTCACTGGCATTTGGATAAAGATGTTATATAAGGATCCAAAGAAAATACATTTTATGTAAAACAAAAGAGTATGTTATTGTTCAAACGTCGTAAAAGCCGCTTCAAAGGGATTTGAGGCACAGAAGATTCTTGCCTCAGAAGAAAAAATAGGATGGTAGTACTAAAATCAGTTTCCAAGCTACATATAAGTAGTTGTAATATCTGATTTAAAAACTTATCATCCCAATGTTGGGATGCTCAGTCTCACCATTAAAAAACACCAACAACTTGCAAATATTTTACCAATACTATAAACTAATCTACAAATGTTAAGTTTAAAAGGGAACATTTTAACCTTTGACTACACTATTTATTGCAGACAGGAAATACTGGGAGTAATAATTGGTGCCAATTCAAAGAAAGCCCTTGATTGCTTTTAGCACTGAAATTAAAACCTAAAATAAAAATTTAAAAATCCCATAATAATTTTGGTGCACAAACTGGTTCCAAGACTAGCCCTATATCGCCACAGCATTGACTGAGGTACTTCTACAAAGACTCAAAGCTGCAGGTAAGGAGTTCAGAAGTGGTTCGCTGCAATGAAACACTGCATCTGTTTTCTTAATTTCAATTTTTCCAAATGCAATTTAGGAGGTAAAAAAGTATATGCCCAAGATTATGCCAAAAGAAAAGTATTACCAATCAGAATCTTTGTACTTGATCACTTTTGAATTTAGTCCTACTTTTAGGTATATTCTAACAATTGCTTCCATACTTGGTTCATATCCATGCTGCAAGGAAAATAAGTCAATAAAATGATTTAATTAGTTTGCTCCCCTTTAATATATATAAAAAAGGACATTTTTCTTCAGAATATGTTGAATTCTTTTCTATTGAAATATTGATATGACTATGTTTTTACAAAAGAAAGCTGCTCAAACTATCAATCTGGCCAAGATTAGCCCATTTTTGTTGGAAGGGTGGACCTGAACAAAATTGAACAAAATTCTATTTTACAGCAGTGTGGAAATCATTGACATCAATCACTTAAGACTGTTCTTAGGAGGTAAACCATTATGTGGATGATTTCCCACCAAACATTCCAATGATGATTAATGATTTAGATAGCAAGACTTTTAACCATATTTTTCCTGTAATATGTTTTTGTCCTTGAGAATGTCTATATTAACACTGAAACCAAAAAGTGGAAATATAAAGAACTTACAAATAACAAATGGTTCCTTTGCAAGATTTCTACAAAATCATTTTCCAGTCACTGAACTGGAAAGAAAAATACCACCATTTTTTCTCCCTTTACCTGGTGTCTTAAAAGGTTAACACACTTGCTAATTAGAATGATGAAAAAAAAATCACTGTCACAATTCTACCTCTTTAAGACCCTGCAAACATCACAACAGTGCATTAGTGATATAAACTGTAAAATACTTTTCGGCTCCTTTGGATTTTGCATATGACAATTTTTGCATCAGTCAGAGCGGTAGGTTGAGCAAGCTTTGCGAGTTTTAGACATGCATTCAACTAGATATGAATCAATAAATTTATACTCCCTTTAATCATTATAATTAGCTAAAAATTGCAAGACAGTCCACAAAACAGGATTTGCTTTAAGACTAACTGCTGGAGTTCCAAGATGTAAGATATGCAGCACTGGGAAGTCTTCAGTGGAATTAGTGTTTAGCAAAGGATTGCAAGCATTCAGAAGAAACAAGTCCTGGTTGGAGGCATGAAGGCTTCAGCACCAACTTTTAAACCTCAATTACTTGATTGCATATCTCCCATCTTCAAATCTGCATTCAAAAGGAGGCAAAAAAAGAGAGCTAAATATCCAGTCTGACTTTTGATAGTCCTACACTGGCGAAATCACTACAGCTATAAATATATGAATACTTACACTGGGTAATGGTGATCACCACTGTGGGGGCACATAACTATAGGTTGGAGTTCCTGGAGCTCGATAAGTGGGCATTGTAACTTGGTGAGGGGCTACGGGAGTTGGGGAATGTGTTGTCAACAAGGTACCTGGGGAGGAAAAAATATTTCCACACTTAATTGCTTCATAATTAACACTCTTCGTTGTTTATAAGTAATTTTGAAGTTGTTTCAGAAATTATGTTTGCAAACTCTGCCGTCCTGTTTTTGTTTCCCTAGCATTTTGTATCAGTCTTATACAGCCTATGCCTTCCAAATATTTTAGGACTGTAACTCCCAGAATTCCCAATTAAAATGATATTAAGACATGGCACAGAATTAAATTCACTTCTTGCATTACCATGTTAAAAGTTCTCTCTGCACTTTGACAGGCAACTAATAAATATTCTACAAATCAGAATATAGGTAGTCCTCCATTTATGACAATTGAGCCCAAAATTTCTGTTGCTAAGTGACAGTTAAGTGAGTTTTGCCCCATTTTGTGTTTCTTGCCACAGTTGTTAAGCTAATCACTGCAGTTGTTAAGTCAGTAACCCGTTGTTAAGTGAATCTGGCCTCTCCATTGACTTTGCTTGTCAGAAGGTCAAAAAAGGTGATCACATGATCCCAGAACATTACCACCATCATAAATATTAGTTGCCAAGCATCTGAATTTTGATCATTTGACCATGGGGATGCTGCAATAGTTGTATGTGTGAAAAACAGTCATAAGTCACTTTTTTCAGTGCCTCTGTAACTTCGAATGGTCACTAAACAAACTGTTAAGTCAAATAACTACCAGTACTTTGTATACAATTCACTTGTGAGGCTCACTGTCACAGAAGGGCCTGCATTTTAAAATGTGTTTGATAGATGAAAGATTATTAGTTACAAGAGTCAAGAATGTTAGTGCTATGTGCCAAAGAGATTATCTGTTTACCAATGGTTGTCTGAGAATTTATATGTAGCACCCAACTGGCCCCACTAATGAGTATCAACTGCTCTAAAACACCAATACCACACATCACAGACTGTTGGAATAAAAGAAAATTCACATACCTGCAGACATTGCCATTGTGGTCCCAGCCACCATTCCCATGGTGACACCATTTCCTCTGGGAGGTGGAATTGGTGCTGGATACATAGTTGCAGGCATTCCATTGGGCTGCACAACTGTAGTGTGATGGATTACGTGGGGTGGTGCTGCATATAAAGGCTGTGTGTAGTAAGTGCCTTGCTGTTGAAAAAAATGGTTGGTTTACTAAAATTCTTTCCAGTACTACTGATATATACTAAAAGGCCACATGGTTTCAAGGAAATGCCATTATTTTATTTATACACATCAGGTATGAGTCGGGCCCTTCAAAAAGGAAAAAAAGAGAACTGATTACTGTTCATCAGTAATAATGAGTTTTCAGTTCTCTCAAAACTATTCCTAATTAACTGCTCAATCAATCTGAACTAATTGGGAAGCACAAGTGTAATTGCATGTTAACCAGAATTGCTGGCATATATCTCTAAACAAGCCAGAAACAAGAAGCCAACAATCATGTTGTTTTGAAGGCAGATTATCAACTATAAGCCAGAATTCACTAAAATTCTGATTTATAATATACAAATGATTAATGATTAAACCTCCGCCCCAAGCCATCACAGCACTAAGAATCTAGAAAATGACAACAGTTCCACTTGTTATATAATTAACTCAAAGAACTCTTTTTACCTGTGCATATGGATTCTGCTGTGGATAGGCACTTCGAACTGGGTATACTGCAGTTTGGTAAGGATTGGGAGATGAAGAATAAGGAGGCACTGTACCACTGGTAGGTGAGCAAGAGACTTTATATGGTGTGCCTGGTGTATAACCTATATTAAAAGATAGCCAAGTGTCAACATTGTGTTTCAACAATTTGCAATATTCATATTATTAAACGGTGAAAAACAGCATGATCCATTTTTTTTCCTAATTAAAATAGGAAGAAATTGCTGCCCACAACGTATTATTTATTTATTTAAATGACTATCCATATCTCAACATGACAATTATGGGCAGCTAACAACAGTTAAAAACACAATATTAAAATAAATATAAATTGGCAGCCAAAGTTAAAAACCCTACAATCAATATAATCATCCTGCAGCCTCAGCCCTCATGTCCAGAGATGGAATCTCTATAAGCACAAATAGAACAGTAAAATATGTGCAATGATCAAGAATAGTCAAGAAAGTACTCAGTGTTTAATATTTAGAAACACAAAATAATAAGCACAATGTAAAAAGTAATGTTTCTTATCATTTATTCATCAATTTGTATGTTGCCCGACTCTCAATGACTCTGAGAGGTTCACAAAATGTCTAGAATGTTATGGCATAAAACTACATTCTTGATTACTACTATTGTCATACATTCTGGATTATTGCCATTACAAAATTTGATAAAAAGTATTTACAGGTAGTTCTCCAGTTACAAGGGCTTTGGGGACTGGAATTTCCATTGCTAAGTGATCCAGTCTCTACTACTGTGGGTTAAATTATGGTTGAAATTAGATTTATAGTTTATTTTGGAATATTCTAGTATAGATTTGAAGTCTAGAATCTGATTCAGAATGGATATAGGAACATCTGGCATAAATTAGAAAGAACAAAGCTATTAAAGGTCAAATGATTGGAAACATTCCTTGCTGACTGTGGATGTTTTTAAACCTAGATCAGAAGAGGTTGCTTACCTACTGAATTTAGTTCTTTCTATAATACCTAAATACCTTTTGATTCCTTCCCTGTCCACTTAGTTCATTATTCAGTTTCTTCACCCTTTCCTTTTCCTTTCTTTAAACTAGCTTCATTTTAAGTATTTTAACCTTTCTTTAGATTTATTGTCTACACTTGCAGTATTACCATTTTTCAATTTCAATTACAGCAGTTGGGACATTTTCTTCATCATTTTTTTCTTGAACATTAAAAATTAAAATATTCATTTATATTGCTCTTCAACATATTACTATAATTTCCACAAAAAGCTCTAAAATACTTCTAGCATTCCTTCACCTGTTTCATTGCTGAATGTTCTTTGTTCAGCCCTATTGTGCAAAACCAAATCTTTTTGCTTTCATCAAAATTGTGCTCCCTTTTGTCTCCCTATTTTCATCTTAACCATTTCTTTGATTACATTATTTGCAACAATTTTTCCTATATACATATTATACAATGTATTTCTTTCATCCTCATTTTTTTCAGCTATAATTTTCTTACATGCATTTTTTCTCACCCACGTGGCAATCACGTGATTGTGGGACACTGCAATTCTTATAAATGCACACCAGTTGCCAAATGGTGATGGTGATGATGATTATGCGAGGTGGGGACATTGTGATGTTCACAACTTGGAGGACTGATCGTAAAACTCTTTTTTCAGTGCTATTGTAACTTTGAACAGTCGCTGAACATGCAATCAATAAGAGAGGACTATTTGTACTTTCCTTCGTGTATTTAGATTATCTTCATTCAAATCTATTGCATCTTTACTTTTTTCTTAGTGTACAGACATGTAACATTCCTCCCTTCCATTCTATTCCCTTCTTGTTCTTAAGCATTCACTCTTCTAATGTTCCAAATTACAATATTCTATGCACCATGGTCACTACCAAATGGCCCCATATAGATCTCTGCCAGTTAATATAGCTTTGGACAATCAAGGTTTTCACATGAAATTTTTAGTGAATAATATAGAGAAGGCTATATTATTTTACTTAGTCAGATCTGTGCAAAAACCAAGTTCTCTGTTACTAATGTGGACAGTAACAATCAGTTCTGGCAAATTTTGAATAACATGCCACCAACACAACCAAGGCCCCGCTTTACCCCAAGCATGGTCACACTATTCCATGCAAGTTAGGAGATTTAATCTAGAAACTAACTTGTGACCCAATATACTGTTGCACACATACCACCAACCTGGAGGCACTTACAGTGCAACATTGAACTGCTCTTTCTGCAGAAGGTACACACAATGACATTGTTGAACTGCTTTTACTGTTACAATTTTTTTGGGGATTAATATTGAATCGGAATCTGCCTTCCTGTAGCTTAAATCCATTATTAAGTATCGTGAGCTCTGGAATATCGGAGAACAGTCTTTATCTTTTTCAGTATGACATCCTCTCAAGTATTTGAAGAATAATATTATGCCCCCTGCGTCTTCGTTTCTCAAGGATAAACATTCCCAATTTCTTCAATATCTCTTCATGGGACTTAGTTTCTTATCCCCTGATCATCCGTGTTGCTCTTCTCTGAGCCTGTTCCAGTTTGTCTGAATCCTCTTTAATATGCAGTAATCAGAACTGGACACAATACTCAAATTGGGGGCCTGACCAAAGAAGAATAAAGTACAACTATTACTTCCTCTGATTCTGAAACTACCAGTGCTAATATACTTTAAAACTGCATTTGTCTTCTTTGCAGTAACCCCCCCCGCTACAGATTAATATTCATAAATGAACAATTCCAAATTTTTTATAAGCATTATCATCAAGTGAAGTAGTTTCCTATCATATATCTACTTTTTCCTAGGTGAAGAACTTTGTGTCTATTACATTCTATTATTTCTAGCCCATTTTCTTTTCTACCAAATTATTCCTGATTTTTTTCCTATTATATATTACCTACTGTACCTATTTTGTGTTACCTAAGTGGATAACCATACTTTCTACCTCAACCACACCCACTTTTCAAATGTAATCTTTCAATATCCTAGTCAAATCAGATCTAAAGGCCAAGGAAGCTTTCAAACAAAGAGTTATTGATATGGCTGCAATACTTAAATGTGTCACATCTTTGAAGTGGCTGATTCAACACAAATCAGCCTCTTGGTTAGAAAAATGTTTAACAAGTTACATGTCTGAACATTTCAGAAGAGCTTTCTCTAGAGCTCAGTTTGAACAACTGAACTCCATTGGACATGGGAGAATTCATGGAGTCCCACTTAAAAAAAGACACTGCATTTGTGGAGCACCAGCCATTGAAGACACTGGACACATTCTTGTTGACTGCAAACTGTTGTCTGTTGTGTACTTAGATTCCTATTTAAAAACAAAAAAATACTGGAGCACCCAGGAGAAACAATAATACCGTGTTTCCCCCAAAACAAGACCAGATCTTATATTAATTTTTGCTCCAAAAGACACATTAGGGCTTATTTTCTGGTTAGGGCTTATATTCGGGAAAATACGGTAGTAAATGCATCCGCCTGGCTGATAATCTTAACTGGGGCTTATTTTGGGGGTGGGGCTTATATTATGAGCATCCCGAAAAATCATGCTAGGGCTTATTTTCTGGTTAAGTCTTATTTTTGGAGAAATATGGTATTTTTTGCAGGAAACACTAATAAGACTGCAGTCTTCATTTCAAAGGCCAAGAGAACAAGAGAGAATATCCAGATCAGACTGTAGTTAACTATATCGGTGATAACATTATGAAAGTGTTTTATTGTTTTCTATGCATTTCTTTGTATTTTTATATCAGTTTTATATATGATACGGTCAACTGAGTTAATAAAGTTTCTACAGAACTAGATTGGACCCTGTGCAATTCATTATCTAGTCCACTCTGACACAGAATTATTGAGGAACATTCTGTTTTTCCAGTTAGTTCTATATACTTGTCATACCTTACAGTTCACAATTAGCTTGTTTATCAGAGCGTCATGGCATATTGTCAAATGTTTTGCTGAAGTTAAGATATATAATGACTACAATATTCACACAATCTATTTAAATTTATCAGATCAATTACTCTGGCAAATACCAGTACCAATACCTGTGCATTAAAAATCCTTCAATTGTTTTCAAGATGTTTGTAGTTAATTTGCTTTACCAGTTGTTCTCATTTTTTTCAGGTATCAATTCAGACTGAGAGTCAATTATTATATATATTCTCATTTTTGAAGAATGACAACTTTAGCCTTTTTCTAGTTATCTGGCACTTCTGTTCTCCAGAGATTAATTTTGTAAACAGAGCACTGTATTTCATAAACAGGTAATTTTAATTGGATGTTATTAATGTAACATTTATCCTGGAATCACATACAAATTTCTGAGATACACTTGAAAACATGCATATATAATAGAGGCAGAAATTTCCAGAATTAAGGTTAACTGTAACTTCATTGGCAAAGTGGGAAAGTATGCATGTTAGTGTAACTACTTTTCCCTTTGGGGTGACCTGGTTTTCAATTTAAAATTGTTTTCCATCAATACAATGTAACGCTGTTTTAATACCACAATGGGTAGTTCCATACCATTATCTCAATAAACTGCTTGAGGAGACCAGTAAGCGGAACAGAATTCAGTTCATGATGCAGATAGACCAGATACTTTAGTGCATCCTAATTCACAGCTAAACTCCGAACTCCCTTAATGTACTAATAATTCCTTGAACAACCATCAGGAATTCTCAAACTTAGAGGAAGAAAGTTTATGTATCAACATATACAGGAAGAAAAACCTGCACTGCTTTCTTCCTGATAATGGCCAAACTTTGATCTTATGAGACAAAAAAAGAGGACTAAAAAGTTCAGATTATTCCAGCCATTCCTTCAACTCTTAGGGCTTCCAGTAAAACCCACCCTTTCCAAGACGATTCCTCCTTGTTCTTTGCTATTGTGTACTTGTGAATCTTATCAATCTGTGACTGTCATACTAAGCCTAAGAAATGATGGTGAATGTGTATTGAGGGCAAAATGGCTCTCAAGGAAAGATTATCTTAAAGTATCTCTGGTTTGATGAAGGAATGTTTCTATGGAGATGGTCTTAGTTTAGCTTGCACTGATATGACAACTGGCTACTTTGGATAGGAACAAGGATATAATATGGCTTAAAATCCAATCCTGTTCCTGACATCATTGCCTAAAGGACTAGTTTGTCAGAACTTAAATATAATGCCAAATGGGAACTTCAACTCAACACAAAATCTTGTCTTAACATTGAGGCATTCTATAATTGTAAAAAAAGAGGGCTAATATAACAAGGCGCTCCATCCCTGCTCATAGTTTTAAACTGCTCTCTCCATATCACGACAAAGAATGATTGTGAAAATGGACTGTATGTTCCTATTATCAAAAACGTAGTGAAAAGGCTATTCTGAAGGCAAAACCCATATCTACCCTTTCTAACAAATAATTTGGGGGTTCAAATCCCACTTATATATAAGCACAATGCTATTCCTCTGAGGGTTACCATGCTTTTCTAAAATACAAGATGGAGAAATGTAATCAATGAAGAAATATCCAGCATGTTATATTTTCCTGCTTTCCTTTGTGTTTGATATTTTCAGATATAGAGATTCTGCATGAAAGTATTTGGCTACTTAGTGTTTATATGTCACTTACACTATCACAGATATCAACATATTCAATATTGGAAATAACTTAAAAGTTTACATTACTGAAATGTGCAGTAGTACCATATACCTGTTTGGAATGTTGGATTTGCTGCAGGATATATATTAGGAGAATAAGCAGGAGCAGCAGCTGCATAGCCCATTGGGAATCCAGCTGAAAGGAACAGTTGAAAATTATTTTCAATATTGTACTTGTACTATTATTCAACAAACTTAATACTATTGTTTAATATAATTTCAATCCATAACATGAAGTAATACCTTATATTTTGTCATACATCATTTAAATGCCTGAACTATTTATTTATTTAATTAGCTCATTGATGCTTTTCAAAAAGAGCTCTGTTCAACTGGATGCTCTCCATAGCTGTGGCTTGCAACACAGAATTCCCAACAATGGATATGCCATGGAATGCTGAGAACCGGTTCATATATCTGGTGGAAACTGACATTGGGGAAATCTGGTCAAAATTCATCTTTTAACTTCAGTGCAAAAACCTATAGTTTATGTCCTAATCTTTTGGCCATAGAATTGAAAACAGTATCGTGACTTTTCATTTTCTATACCAAATAGCATAGATATACATAAACAAAACTATTTTAAATTTTCATGTCCTTATGTAAAAAGGAAAGAAGTTGATGGCACACTCCCAGGTCAATACTTTCTTTAAAGTTACTTAACAATTCCAACATAGAACTCTCAGATATGTTTGGAATTTAGGGAACTCAGTCCTAATACATCTTGATGCTATCATGTTTGGGAAGTCTGTAGTCATTTGTGCAAACTCAATTCAGAATTGAGATAATAGCAGTATCTGATTTGATAAATAAGAAATCACAAGAAAGTTTTATGAGATTAAATTGCATACCTGGATACCCAATTCCTTTGGCATTTGCAAAGGGTACCCCAGAAGATCCAGGACTATAAACAGGATTCATGATTTCAACAACTGAAGGGGAAACGTCACACAATTAGTAGACTATAATGCTTTAACAGTATGAATTATTTAAATCTGCTCCCTTCTCTACTATGAATATGAGAATATTACAAAGCACATCTCTTAGTAGTGCATCCTGTATATATAACCAAATATGACTGTGAAAGTAGTAATGATATTTGAACAATTGTATATTGTACCAAGTAGGTTAACTGATAATATTTCTAACAGTGCAAATCAGAGACTGACATTTATTCCATCTCAATTTTCAACAGGACTTACTCTATCATGACAACTTAGATATAGGGTTAGTTATAAATATTTGGGCTCCATAGGACTTCATAACTGAAAACAAAAAAGTACTTTACTGGGCAAGCATGAAACACCTTTTCTTGTGTTTGTGTTTCAGCATGGAAGGCAGCCATCCAATCACAGAAAATATGCAAATGCTTCAGTAAATTGCAGAACTTACGTATGAGCCCCAAGTATGCTTCAAAGCACCTTTCTATATCCAAGTCCAAAGTACTGAACGTTATTAAATATTTCCATAAATTAGTACACTTAAAATTGCAAACAAAAGATATTTACAAGTACATTTCACATCGACGAGTAAGCAATTCCTATAATCTGCAAAATTTCAATAGCTATAAAATACTTTTTAGGAATTGGATTATGGATACTATATTGCAAATATATAATCCTGTAATATATTCATTTGTGTTATGAATTTTGAACAGATAGGTTTTAATTTGGTCCTTGACAGTTTAGTGGTCCTTGACAGTTTAGTAACTGTTCAAAGTTACAACTGCACTTATGACCAATTTTTACTTCACAATCACTGCAGCTTCTCCATGGTCATGTGATCAAAATTCAGACGCTTGGCAACTGACTCATATTTATGACAGTTGTAGTGTTCTGGGGTCATGTGATCACCCTTTTGTGATCTTGACAAGCAAAGTCAATGGGGAAGCTAGATTCACTAACAACTGTGTTATTAACTTAACAAATGCAGTGATTCCTTAACAATTGCCGCTTAGCAACAGAAAGTTTGGGCTCCATTGTGGTTGTAAGTTGAAGACTACCTGTATTCTAATTTGGGGAACAAACTGTGCTTCTATTTTGGAGTAGAGTCATGCTATTTAATCGGGAAAAGATCTATTCCTACCAGCTACCAACCAAGCTGATATTAAGAACTTCTAATGCCTAAGGACAGGTTGACGGGGAAAAAAGGATTTATTAGTCAAATACCGCACTGAATTATCCCTTACAAAATTAACCATAACTAGGAAAACTAATACTAGTCAGTGAACTACAGTATATCTAATTCACCAGGTTGCATTAGCAGAAGTTTTCACATAGCTTTCAAAGACAAATAATTTGATTAATTTTGATGTAATTACTGTGTACTTAACAGAGACTAATGTTTTCTCTAGTTGAAGTTTTAGCTGGCAAATAACTTCAAATTTCATTGTATTTAAAAACAGATTTCTAAGCATCTGCTCAAGAATTCAACATTTTTCTAGACAACTACAAGCAATATAAAATTCTACTAAAAATATTCACATAGCTTATCCCAGCTAATTTATTTAGAAACAAATGTTACACAAAACATTTAAAAGAGGTGCTTTGCAAAATAAGTTGCCCTGAGTGAAGCACACTCCTCCCTGAAGGATTAAAGCAGCTATGTTCTCAGCTCAATTGCTTTAAAAGGTTTCCCACTGAGTACAGTAACATGACACAGTTGCTTCAACCATTCCAGAGAATATAGCTTCTTTAAACTTTTTGGAAGATGCTTAGCTTGTATCAATGTACTCTCCAAGATGCTCCTTTCAAATGTTTTACATAGTCCTATTAGAAACTATACAGGACAAGACAGAACCCTGCAAAAACCTCTATGACCTCGTTCAAGTGTTTAATAATACAGAGGGCCATGATAAGTTGCACTGCAGCCATCCAGTCCAAACTCTGGTAGGTTATCTCTCTGGAACTAAGTTACCAATCTCATTCACTCTTAAGTATATAAAAATAATTTTGGTGTCCTGCATTTTAACTACAAATGAATCAACTGTCGTGATTTTTCTTCAATTTGTGTAGAATGTGTCTCGCTGTAAGATATTACAATGATCTCTGTACATTTATATACAGAAATAGGGAGAAGGTTTAAGTCCATTTGCAAGGAAGCTTGGATTTTAAAAAATCCTACACACAAGAACCACTCTGATTAGTTGGTCCCTTCCACATTATGTTTTAGTTTGACAGCAGCAAAACATACAGCATCCAATATTAGATCCACAGATACCAACTGCTGCAACCTATAATAATTAAGCATGTGAATCTGCAATTTTAAGGAGAAAACTGAAGCTGAAAATAAAAACCACAAATTTTATAGTAATTAATCAAAAGTGTATTATTAAGATAGTTCCACATTACTATAGACTCACTATAGGCTGCTTAAGTTTCATCTTCAAAATCAAATTCTTTTGTAGTTCGCATCAATATATAAACACTATTGATGGTCTTACATGAACTATTTAAATGAATAAAATTTTATCTTAAAAGCATTACATATGATTTATTTTAATAGACTCCAAAGCAGGAACATTTGTTGGTAAAAAAATCAAGGGGGGTGGAAAAGATTTTTTCCTCCCCAGTATCCTGAAGCTTTCTAATCTTTAACTGAAATGTACAAAAGCAGTTGAAAAAGACATTGTCTTAGCAATCTTAGCAAGTCATTTCATTTTCACTGGCAAAAAATAAGAGTTAATATATAAGGCTATAAAAATGACATATATTTGTAGGAAATTGTTTATTCAGGGACTTAATTTCCCTAAGGGGAAAATTAACTTGATTTTGAAAAATCATTAATTTTCCCCTCCAGGGAGAGGATGACATACAGCTGTTTTGATGCCATAATCTAAAGTGTAGAAGAATTTCCTGTCATCCACTTTCAGAGCAGGACACAAAACAAATAGCATTGCCCAAGTTTGTCCTATTGCTGGCTGTAATCATACAACACAATGAATCAGTGTGCCAATTACTTTTGTTTTGCACAATGTGTAAGCATAATATTGAATTATACTTCAATTGGTCAAGCAACTGAATGAGAAAACCATGTGTATGTCTTCTGTAGTACCATCACTATTAATTTTAATTTTAAATTCTAGTAACTGCCAGTAGTTTAATATTAATATTAGTATTAGAACAACTCAAACATCAGCTACACAATTCATTTTATCGGCTATTTTGATAGGGAACTGGAAGGATAAATGCCAACAATCTACAGCAATCTAATCAGTTACTTATACATTCTTCACTTTACAAATATCTATGGATGAAGCTGAATAAATAGAATGTATGCATTCATTCACTGTTTTAGGATAAAATCAATGGCACTAATTGATTTTACACAACTTGCTCATCATTTTAATTTTGATGACCCAAAGACCTAAATTAAAACATTTCAGTTTTCAAGCTATATTTTGAGAAAGGGCGCGCTTTTTTCCTGCAAGTCATTCAAATATACAACCAGAATATATACAAATTCTGGATAAAAAAACTAGAAATAAAATAGATGGAGATTCCACTTAAGAAACATATTTTATGCAGCTGGGCTGTGACCTTGGAATGATTATGAATTAGTTCCAAAAGTCCATATAAATATGCCAGATTAGAGCTGAAGCACCTACACTTCACGTTTAGTACACCCACCATATAAGAGCATGATTTTGACTCTCAGCATGCATACTAAGTACAAACTTGAATACAAATCTATTTTAATTCTTATGTAATTTTTGGTCAACACTGAAATCCAGATTAGATTCAATTGCTCCCAATAACCCAGGCTAACTGATAAATCGGAATTTATTCTACCCCCAAGTAACTGTTCTGCTGCCTCACTTTCCAGCTTTGCATCAAAAGCTGCTCCCCCCCCCCCCAAAAAAAAAAAAAAATTATCCACCCTTTATCAGCAGCCCCTCGAACAGGAAAACAACAGCGAGGTCTAGCTACCCTCTTTGCAAGCATCGCTTTGCAGACCCAAAATGAGAGGCAGAGCTGGAAGGCCAAGAGACGTGAAGGCAAGCGGGTGCCTCAGAAACGTTTCAAGAGCGCAAGGGCGCCCACAAACGCGGGGTCTGCCGCCGAGGCCTCGGCTCGGCCAAGCATCCGCAAAGCCGACGAGCGAGAAGGCCGGGAGCAGAGGAGGCAACTCCCCGGGTCGACTTTCATCCGTGATGGGCCCCTCGGCAAAGGTAGCCAGAAGGAGCCAGCCTGAAAACGACCTACAGCCCCCCCCCTCCCCTCAGGCAGCGGTTAGGGAGAGGGGAGGGGAGGGGCCGAGGTGGCGCTCCCTCACTCACCCAACAGCAGCGTTTGGTCGCGGCGGCCCCTGCCCGGCGGTCGCTCTCTCGCTCTCGGGGCCTGAGGCGGGAGGGGGCCAAGCCTGGGCGAGGGCTACTGCCGCCGAAAGCTGCCGCAAGAACGAACCCTTCCCGAACGCGCCTCGCCGTCTCGTTCTCCTTCTCTTTTCTCCGGAGAACTGCGCAGCAACCCAGCGGCCCAGAACGTCACATCCGCTCGTCGGCTGTGTGCAAAGGACGGACGATGCCCGCATACGTATGAAGCCCCCAAAGGCGAGCCAAGAACTGTTGTCACATGCGGGAGGAGAGAGAGAGAGAGAGAGAGAGAGAGACGCGGTTCCCAATCACGTGGTCGGAGGGGGTTTGGCGCCCTTGCCATTAATTGCAAATGGAAGCCGCGTCATCTTTCTTTTTTCTTCAAAACAAAACAAAAGAACTTCGAATTTAGAGATTTGAGAGTTAGCCCTGGGTAATAAATTAGACCCATGTTCACGATAATTCAGGCCATAATTTTATGTACAGATATGCACATTATAATAAGAGTCCAAAAGACTGGAGGTTGTTAATATGTACAAAAGTCATATAATCTTCTTAAATGAAAAGGACATGCCGGGGTGTAACTTCTCTAGGGGTAATTGGTTTAGTATCTCGTTCGTGTAAATGTACACCTATATAACAAAATTTGTTTAGTTGTTAGCCTATTACAGCCACAGTTACACAAAGTGTTAACTTATCAGAAATAATTGCAATATTCTGTTGCAATGTAATTTCTCTAACCTAGAACACAAAATATGTAAAACAAGGATCTCAAGAAAGGCTGCACAAAACTGTGTGTCTTACTATTTGATCCAGAGAAGGGTGCAACAGTGTTTTACTTTCAGCAAAACTGAAAAAAAAACATTGAAATGTTCCTGCTCCATTATTCTTTACCTTCGTTAATACAGTGAGCTACCTAAGAGTAAATATGTGCAAGGATGATTCTGAAGTCCTTAAACTTAACAAACATGAATAGACATTTAAATGCAGGGGAGTACTATCAAAACTCAGGAGTAGATTTATATTATAGAGAAATGGATGCAAAACTGTAAAACTAGTTTATCAGTCAATGCTCTATTTCTGGCTGAATGAAAACTATCCCTGTAAAATTATGAATTGTCAAAACACAAGATAGGTGCAAAAATTGTTTTAGCTTTTTACAGTGATCATACAAGGATTGCAGCACTGCAGCATTTTTTTAAAAAAGAAATTCAGGTGCCTCAAAGGGAGACTCTAGTTTTTGTCATGAAAGCCACATATATGAAGAGAGGAAAAATGACGCATTCCTGCAGTTTCAAACCATTAGAAGGTTGTGGGTTGCTATTGGCCATACTCAAAGGACTATTGGGCCACCAATGCACAATTGGTCTGCAGCCTTTTTGGCCTATGATACCAGAGGGCATGAAATTCCCCTAGTTTTGCCTGCAGCCTACCAAGGCTGCAAACAAAGTCCACAGATTCTCCAAGGCTGCTTTGTGTGCAAGGAGATAATGCTTTTATTATCCTGTGCCACACCCATCCACAGGCATATAAACAGGATATGTATCAACCTGTATCATTTTCTCTGTAATCTCCATTAGGGTCTGGATAGTGGAGGGGGGAGATGTGCAGAGATGGACCTAATGCTAGAAAGGCACACTGAAGGGGGCTGGGCACAGAGCTCACATCTGCTGCTCCTTTTATAGGAATCAGCTGTGATGCTTGACATAATAAAACATACCCTGACTTAGTACTGCCCTTCATATTGATCCTTGTCAATCAATATGGTAAGTGTTTGCACCCAGAAGAGGGAATGAATGTGATGGCACTCATGTTTTCATCAGCCACAGGCAACCTTGTACTGAGGCAATATTAACATTCAGCCTTCCAAAGGCACTCTCTGCTAAGTTCCTGCACTGGGTTGAATATGCATGCTGATTTGCCTAAAAACAGCTTTATAAGCCACCAGTGCATCAGATAAGTGTCATCTCTAAAGGTAATTGTTTATATGGAAAGACATCCATTGCCTATATGTACGACAGAACATCAAGTACTGGCCAACAAACGTTGATGTTAACACATTCACTCATGTGATTATCAGTTTCCTACATGAGATTCAAGTAGATTTGCTTCTATTTGATCTGCCTGTGTGACTTATTGATAGCTGAATATATAAGTAGTTATAGCAATTATATGTATGGATGACTGCAATTATGTGTGTTTATTAGCCAACATTTATGTTTGTTGGATGATAGTAGCCTTCTTAAGCAGCAGCAATTTAAACCAGTTTTAATGTTACTATTTAAATATGTTTCTGTTTTTTTAAATATGTTGTGAGCCGCCCTGAGTCCCGTTGGGAGAAGGGCGGGATATAAATCAAAATAAAGTAAAGTAAAGTAAAGTATTTGTTGTTTTAATTGTCTAGTGTTTTATTGATTGTAACCACCTAAAGTTGCCTCTCTGGTGGGATGGGCGGCATATAAGGTAAATAGTGTACCATAAAATCCCTTCAAGAGACACTTATTGATTGAAGACAGGATTGACTACATCAGAAGCTCCATGTGTATATTACTTCAGATTTTCAGAACTTTTTCTTAGGCTAACATTGGCAAAAAAAAATTATGTTTGTCATGGTAGTTGAAGAAATAACATTCTGTTCCTCCACCTATTGATGTTAATACACTTTTGGAGCAACTAGGAATCATATTCTCCTTGGTAGTTGTTTCTGCAGATGTTATTTTAATATAGATTGCTATTTGAGTGGGTGTTTTGTATCTGATATATTAATATTGTAATTATTTCCCAGTTTCATATTTTGTATACACACTGATCTGTATAGTTGCATTCTTATACATTTTAGGACCTCAATATCCCCAAGATGTCCAAACAACAGCAAGCCATTAAATCACTGTATATTATGCTCAGCACTCTTACTTTCTCTTATATCATTCTATGGATTATTTTTAATACACTGCCCTTGATAGTAGCAGTGCTGTAGAAGTTGCTATCACAATAAGCTATTTATGTGAAAGTTTTACATCTTCAATTTTTTAATAGAGATTAATGTTTACATTAAATGCTTCATGATTTTTTTCTTAATATACATTTCTGCCACTCATTTTATTAACAAAAGAGAGCACTACAGATATGAGTTCGCTTTGAGCATCCTTCATTTTGGGGAATTAGCCAGCCTTCTGGCACTATCCCTTAGCAGATAATTGTTACAATCTCTTCTTGGCATAGTTTTTTTTCCAACTTGTGTTTGAGATATTAGCAGGAAATTGTTGAAGAGCAGTATTTCTCAGACTTGGTAATTTTAAGATGTATGAACTTTTACTGCCAGAATTCCCCCAGGGATGCTGGCTGGGAATTCCGGGAGTTTTAAGTCCAAAGATTTTAAAATTGCTTAGTTTGAGAAATCTTGTGCAAGTGGTTCCACAGATATCTCCCCATGTAGACCTGTCCTTTATTATTGCAACATATTGCACAATGATTTATTTAAATAATAACGACATCTGTGTCACCTTCCTTCTTTTGCTTTTGGAAACTACAATTCCCACCTACAGTTATGAGCATGTGCAGATGTATTAAGTGACGCAAACGATCACAGGACCCATCTGACAAGAGAGTCCTGGGCGTTGGGAGGCGGTGCTGTGGAAGCTTTTCCATTTCTCGGCAACAAGGAAGAAGGGAAGCCGGAATTCTAGGAGTTGTTCGCTGTTTCCAAAGTGTAAGAGGTCGGTGAAGTCGCTTTTGCCTCCTCTTCTTGTTGAAGTGAATAACCGCTTCTATGGTTTCTAGCAAGCGGAGGAAAAGAATGGTTCCAGGGTTAACTTTTTAGGGCTCGAAGTTTAGTTGCGCTGGAGGTCGTGTTTTTCTCGATAGCCGAACGACGGGCGGTGGTGCGCTTTGTGTGGGTCCTTACTAGCGGTGGGGAGGACAGGAAGAAAGCCGTAGTACCGTGGTGGGGTGGGAGGGCGGCTGGTTGCCCCATCGGCTACAACTCGTCTAGAGGAGGCAGAGACAAATCCAACGAGGTCACGCCATCGCGTTTTGTAATCCTTCGAGCTGTAACGAGCTCATGGAGTCTGAATCGCTTATTTATATTTTTTCCCCATCTTAATGTCAGAGAAGAAGGTTGTGGAGTTTTAAATCAGGAAAGGGAAGATGGTTTAATGGCACTTCAGCCTAGCCTTTTTAGGAGAGGGAAAAGAGGAACTGCAGGTTTTAAAACCAACTTTCACCGGTATAGAATTTCAGACTAAGGTGAAGTAATTTGTGAATTGCCGCAGAAGGTAATTCAAGACTGTAGTGATGCGCTGATCTGTTTCTTAAGAACTGCGTAAATACAAACATTGGGCTGTAATAGAAAAAATGCTTACCTGTTTAAGTTTTTGCATGATGTTACTGTCATGTCCAAGGTTTAAAAAATCCTGCTGCAAGACAAAAGAAAATAGCTGGGAGTCTTTGTACTTTGCCTTTAAGAAAAAGTACAGCACAATCAGATGTAAGATTCTCTTTTATAAATCTGACGAAACAGATTGGGAAATTATTACTGACATCTACAGAAATAAATATGATCTTATTTTCCAGATACATTGATTATGATTCCCATTATCAGTAGTCAACATATTAGGATGGTTTTATAGTTATATTGTATGATGTCTTTGATTAGACAGTACAGTAAATATATTTTGATTGATTGATAATGGTGATAATTATATTTGTGATCCTGAAACATCTGGAAGAAGCAAGCCTGAAATAAAGTAATTATGAAATAAATCATTTAGCATTCAAGGGGCTGATAGAAAGTTAGCATTTTTTCTCTCGAGTAAAGTGATTTATTTTGAATAGTGCAGTTTCCATCTCAAATGGATACAAATGTCTCAACTTTGATGGGTCCATATAGTAATTTAGAAATATCCTTTGTTAGGATGAATTATATATTCAATTTACCTAGATATAATTTTTAATCCACTAAGATCAAACCAGTAATGTCTTATCAGTTTTTATGAGCTAAAGTTTAATGGAGTGGTCAATATATTGGTGTCTCTAGCTGAAAGAAATTCCAGGAATATTTATGGTTCTAAATCTTGTTTTAAAGAGCTTATGCCAGTAATATGGAACATGATTGAATTGTAGAGCAAATCTTTTACAGAGAATATATCAGAGATATGCGACTTCTTTGAAAGGGGTATTTAAAATGCACATTAACTTTTCACGCTACTTTTGTTTCCCAACACAATAATCATGTAGAGACAATTGGGAACAGCTTCCAAAGCAGCTGTGAGAGTCTGGGGGAAAACCCCTATTCCAGACATGTCAAACACAAGGCCCGGGGGCCGGATGCGGCCTGTGAAGTAGTTTCATGTGGCCCACGGAGCCATTCTGGAAACAGTGAGGGAACAGCCCCCTCTGCCTTGGCCCTAGCCCAGGCCAACCGGGATCCAATGTACAATTTTGTGGTGGCCATCTATGCTGAAACGCATTCAGTCTTAACTCCACAAGGCCGTCTGGAAAGAGCGAGGAACCAGCCCCTGTCGCATCGCCCCCACCCCCTGGGTGCATGCTGGGGAGGTGTCACCCTTTGTGAGGAATGAAGAAATGCACCATTGCCTGGAAGTGGCCAGCAAATGGCCCTCGCCTACTTCACATATCCGGCTTGATAGGCTCCGGGGGAGGGGTTTCAGTGGGCAGCGGGGTGCTCTCCTCACAGCGCCAAGAGGCTGAGCCGGGTGGCGCGAATCCAAAAAGAAGCACGATGCTGCCCAGCCCCCAGCCTGCCCGGTTTCAGAAGGCAGCAAGGTGCAAAGCTGACTAACTTTGCACTGCCCGGCTCAACCTCTCGGCACTGTGAGGAGAGTGCCTTACTGCCTGCCAAAATCAGGCAGGCTGGGGGCTGGGCGGCATCATGCTTCTTTTTGGTTTTCGGCTGCCCAGTTCAGCCTCTTGGCGCTGTGAGGAGAGCACCCCGCTGCCTGCCGAGACCGGGCAGGCTGGAGGCTGGGCGGCATTGCGCAGGTAACGTTGACTCATGGCATCCCCTCCCCCAGAGCCCACTAAGCCAGATATGTGAAGTAGGTGAGGACCATGTGCTGGCCACTTCCAGGCGATGGTGCATTTCTTCATTCCTCAGGAAGGGTGACATCTCCCCAGCTGCGTTTCTTGCCTGTTTTTCTCTCTCCCTCATCTCAAATATTTTCCCACCACTCTGTACTTAGAAAGGAAGAAAGGAAAGAAGGAAAAAAGAAAAGGGAGGATCTGAGGGAAGTCCTGCCTTAGTCCTGCCCTGCTGCCCTTTCACCATCCCCTTGCCCCCTCCTCCTGGCCTATCCTGGGGGTCTCCCATCCTATTGCTAAGGAAGCTTTGGATACAAAGCCGGGTCTCTTCCCATGGAGAGGGAATGGGCCTCCCTCTGACTTTGCCCTCGTACCCATCATGAGCAACCTGGCTAAGGAGAGCAAGCACAGCAGCAGCAGCCTTGAGAAGGAGGTAAGTGCAGCTGGGCGCCCCCTTGGGGAAGTGGCGCTGGGCTTGGTGTCGTGGGTGTTCGAGAGCCAGGCTGGGCATTTGGCCTCTGCTGCCCAGGGCTCCGGGCAGCCCGCACCACTATCCAACCTCCCTGCATGGCCTGAGAAGGAACAGTGAGGCTCCTCCAGTGGACCATGCCTTGGCACTTGCCCTGGGCCTACCCCCTTCTGCCAGAGACCCTCAGATCTGTCCCACTCCTGCCTAGACACCCTTGACGTGAATGATGTAGAGCTGGCCATGCCCACCCATTAGGCCACACCCACTCCATCCACGCCCACCCAGTAGGCCACGCCCACTCTGGCTACACCTACCCACCCCCCTGAGGGCAACCGCAATGCTGATGCGGCCCTCAATGAAATTGAGTTTGACACCCCTGCCCTATTCTATCAGTTTGAGAAAAATTGCATTGGAAGTTTCTTGTTCATTTACTGATAAGAATTTTTCAGACTGCAGGTGTAAATCCTGTATTTTCAAATACAGGTGTGGTTTACCTTTCATCTACTTATTTTTTGGGCTTTTGCTACTTATCAATTGAATTTGCCTTTAAAGCAGGGGCAAGCAAAATTTGTGGCCAAAAACTGTTTTTGATAAATCTATACCTGGGCTGAATGGAAAATTTAGGATGGCAGATGTTTTTATTCTCCCTTTCAACCAACTCCCACTTCAGCATTAACCACAGCATTAAGCCTAATGTAATTGTTTTATTTATTGCCCAGTATTGGTGGTTGTTTACAACCAGTTTGGTGTAGTGGTTAAGACCCCAAGTACAAAACAAGAGACTGGACTCTAGTTCCTCCTTAGGCACAAAGTAAACTGGGGGACATTGGGCCAATGACTCCCCTTCAAATATAGGAAGCAGGCAATGGCAAATCGCTTTTGAAAAACATTGCCAATAAAACTGTAGGCACTAACCCAAGCAATTGCCAGGAGTTAAAAACCGACTTGAAGGCACACATACATGCGCGCGCGCGTGCCCCCCCACACAAAATCATGGACATAGCAGCAGTGGTCTTGGAGTAGAGTCCATGGTTTGAAGACCTTGTTTTTTCTCAGCTGAGTGCAAAATTAGGCATATTTATTAGTTTCCAAATTGATTTCAGTTTCTAAATTGATTTCAGAAACTTGAAAATAGGTTAAATCTCTAAAGTACACATGGATTAAATCAACTTGCATATATAGGTAATTGATTAATATATTTCTCAATTTTAATTTACAATTTTTTTAAAAATCATTGTCTTAGAATTATAACATTAAATAACATCTAGGCTAGTTTGGTCTGCCATGTTCAGATGGTGCTTGGCAAGTCAGTTATGGTGCAAATTCTGTAGCTGTGCTGATTAAATAATTAAAAGGAAATAATGGAAAGAAAGGCAGATGTACATACATTCAGCATTGTTGTTAAATCTTGCTTATGATTTTCCTGAGTCTAGAATGTTAAAATTTTTAACTGCTTATTCTTCAGAAACAGAAAAGTCCTTCATATGGTATGATATTTTGGATTTGTAAATGAAATAGCCTCCTAATAAAAAATAGTCCTGAAAATTATGGACAAGAGCCAGTTTGGTCTAGTGCAGGGGTAGGCAACCTTGGCTCTTTTAGCTGGCTCAGGAATTCTGGGAGTTGAAGTCCACGAGTCATAAAAGAGCCAAGGTTGCCTACCCCTGGTCTAGTGGTTAAGGCACCAGGCCAGAAACCAGGAGACACTGATCTCTAGTCCTGCATTGGTCATAAAAGCTGGCTGGTAGAGTTTGGTCCAGTCACTTTCTCTCAGCTCAACCCACCTCACAGTGTGGTGGTGGTTGTTGTTGTAGGGAAATAGGAGGAAGAAATATTAGTTACATTGCCGCCTTGAGTTATTTATAAAAATAATAAAGGTGGGATAAAAATAAGTAATAAATGGCCACAATAATTTCAATTATTCTTTTAACCTATCACCATCAAGAGAGAAGAATGCATTTTATATCAACTTTCATGAATTTGGCATCCTTTAGATATGTTAATAACTTCCAGAGTTGGGATCCTCTTTGACAATCGTTACATTGATCCATTTTGTTAATGTCATTACTGCTATGTTTTGCTTTATCTCAGAGGTCTATCATATTCTTTTTGCTCTAGAGATTGGTGATGGCATTGGTGAAAAGTGGATGGTTGCTCCGACAAAGTAAGTAATGGATTTTATTTTCCACTCTTTGCTTTGGGGCCAAATAGCTTGATATTAAGAAATAATGATTGGATCACTTCAGATTGTTTGTTTTAAAAAGTCTGCAACTACAGCAGACAGCATTCTCTATGCAAGGACTTTTTTCCTTTTTTTACCCCTCTTCTTCCAATCAGTAAGAAGTGTTTTCTTCCCACAGGGCAAATTACAATGGCCATGGTAGTGGGGAAGAACTCTCGTATTGGGGAGAAAGGGATTAAACAGCTGTTCCCAGCAGATACCTCCAGATATGCAGAGCTACAACTCCTATGTAAATGAAGACTCAGTCATCCAAGCTTTTGGCCTAAATGACTGAGTCTTAATTTACACTTGCAATACATTTTGAGGAGAAACCCTTGGAAGAGTTAGTACATTCCAACACTCTCTGTCTAACTTAAATTTTTCATTTTGAGTGAAGTTACTTGGATGAGTAACAAAATGTCTCAGTTTAATAAACTTTGGTCCAATTGCCATATCTTCTTTTAAGATATAACTCATTTGATTTCTCTTTGGGAGATGGAATTCTGGAGTTGTGGACAACATAGTAGGAGAATATGATGCTGGGAATAGTGGATTAGATATATCCTCCCAAAGTAGTGCTGTTTGGATTAAAAAAGCGCTTCAAAAATGCTTGGTAATGGTCTTGGTGGCTGCATGGACTAAGGCAGAAAATGTCAGGTAAGCCAATAACTTCTTAGTTTATTTTAGTTCTTATTTGATCTATAATTTGGTTCTTCCATCTTTCAGAAAAGCATGTGAATAGGCTTTTATGTTTGCATTATCATATTTTAATGATTGCCATTATTAAAATGAAAATATTCTGCAGCATTTTAGCCACACAGTAATTGTAGAGATGTCTGTCTCCTTCACTGGTTAGAGGAGAAAACGTAATTGCTGCCTTTGATGAATGGTTTGTCAGAATGAGTCAGCTAGCTCTTAGGAAGAGTCAGGAAATACTTCCTGGCATCCAAGCTGTGTCTTAAAAATATAAGAGTAACTTAGCAGACTCAGAGTTTGCAGCATTTGATTCCTACATCTCTGATTGGATGATTATGGGAAGGTCACTTGCTTATGTGTCACAATAGTTGATATTCAGAGGAATCCCCAACCTTCCTGTGATCCTGAAGATAATTTAAGGTGTAGGTTTATTGTTCAATATCCAGGGATAGCCTCATCTTCCATGAGCATTTTTAATCTTTCAAAGATTACAAAGTTAATGGCTGGTGGCCATTCCTATATCCTGAGGTAATGCATTCTAGTACTTTTTTAAAGGGAAAGTGTTTGAATTTTTCTTAAAGCATTGTAGAATGTTCAAACCTATTAGTAATTTTAGTTACTTCAGTGTAACAAATAATAGAATAATTGAATAATAGAGTTGGAAGGGACCCTGGAGATCTTCTAGTCCAGCTCCTTGCTTAAACAGAAGATCCTATATTACTTCAGACAAATAGTTATCCAGTCTCTTGTTAAAAACTCCAGTGGTGGAGCACCCACAACTTCTGGTGGCAAGCCATTTCACTGATAAATTGTTCTCATGGTTAGAAAATTTCTCCTTAGTTCTAGATTGGATTTCCATCTGTTACTTCTTGTCCTGCCCTGAGGGCTTTGGGGAATATGTTGACCCCCGCCTTCTTTATGACAGCCCCTTAAGTATTGGAAGACTGCTGTCATGTCACTCCTAGTCCTTCTCTTTGTGAAAGTAGACATACCCAGTTCCTCAGACTTGAGACCCAAGTTTTTTACTAACTTATTTATTTAATTTATTGGCTGGGTGGCTTAAAAGGATAAAACGATTCAAAACCTATATGCAATACGAATAAGTTACAAGTCAGGTATGCATATTGCTCGCTTGTCTTCACCTTCCATGATTATTCTATATGTATTTCTTTAGGTACTATATTACGACGCTGGAAGAAAAATTGGTTTGATTTGTGGTCTGATGGACATTTATTATTTTATGACAATCAACATCGACATGATGTAGAAGATAAAATTCACATGAAAATTGACTGTATCAATATCAGAGGGGGAAATGAATGCCGAGGTGAGTATGTGCTTTTTATATGACTTTCCATTTCCCTTCACATGCCTGTGTCTACTTCCCCCCCCCCCCCAATATCTAAGAGAACTTAGTGTCACCTGTAATAACAGTGTTAGTGGTGTAGGTTTAAAACTAATTAAATGCAGAGAAATTGTTTTAAATGGAGATTAGTGATGGCTGGGTTGTTTTGTTTTTTTTTGTGTGTGTGTATGTGTATGTGAGCACACAGAATAATAGTCTTCATTGATTCAGTGGGACTTACTCCTTATGTAGGCTTGAATAAAATTTTAGTGTTATAATAATTGGTTTGCCCGCAGTGATGACAATTCCCTTTATTTTTTTAAGGACAGAATTTGTATACCTGTCTTGGATTAGTTGGTTTTTATTTCACAAGAGAAGACAGGATGCTGGAAGTTTCAGCTTATATATTTCGTAACTAAAGGAATATATTTAATGACCATTAAAGCAGTTGTTTTGCCCCACTTGGCAACAGTTTCATGTTATATAATGTGGATGATGACTGCCCAACTCTTCTTTACTGCCTTCTGCTTAAAAGAGTTGAAAGACTGCATCGTGTGTTTACTTAGAAAAGAAAAAAAATTAAGGAATATTTGAAACAGTGCTCCATAAGAGATAGAACAGATTTGTTTTCTGCTGTTGCAGGGGATAGGACTAGAACTGATGAGTGGAAATGGCATGCTAATTTCAGATACATTTGAGGAAGTAACACACTCCAATTCAAACTTTGTTAGATCCTGGGGAAATGTTGAGGATTCTGCAGTTAAAGTAGATACATTTGCAAGGTGCCTAGGCTGGGAAGATAACTCCTGCCTTGTGATTCTGGAAATCATTTTGAGTCAAATGGTTGTCCATATTGTATCTCAAGTTCAAATGTCTTATTTTACTTATGATTTTTAAATACCAATTTCTGTTTTTGTATTATGTAGTATTTTGTATGGGTATTATGAGCTTGCATTTTGGATTCCATCAGGGGAGATATTTCTTTTTTATTAGGGAACCAAAATTTTTGGGGGGAATCTCGGCTTGGAATCTCAGCTCCTTTTGCTGAGATTCCTCCTGCCCCCTGCAAGCAGCTCTTCAAGAGGGAAAGGACTGCCTGTCAAATGAAACAGAATGCCTCTGGAATGCTGCATAAGTGGAAGGTAGATCCCAAAGATCTGAGCTATGTTCCTGCAGCACTTCGGAGGAGGACTCTTCATGTATGGAGGGGAACTGAACTTGACAGGCAGCTCTTTCACTTTGTCTGCTTAAATGATCTGGGAGATTGCTTAACGATTGCAACTGAGAATGATGGATTTGTGGTCATTTAGCAAAGCAGTCACGTGGGAGTCTTGCTTAACAACTGGTTCCATTTGTGCAGTGGTGGGATTCAAATACCTGAACAACTGGTTCTCTGCATGGCCATCACTTCCGGAAGTCCGTTCTGAGACAGAGAGGCCTCCCAGGCCCAGAGCAGCCCACCGGAAGTGCATGGATACCACTTCCGGAAGTCTGTTCTGAGCCTCGGAGGCCTGGGGAAGGCCTCCCAGGCTCAGAACGAATTTCCGAAAATGGCGTCCATGCACTTCCGGCGGTCTGTTCTGGGCCTTGCGAAAAAGGGCTAGGGCATCAACAAAAGTCAACAAAAAATTAGGTACCAGTTTTACTGAACCGGTGCAAACTGACTGAATACCATCACTCCATTTGTGGTTGTAAATCAAGGACTACCTGTATAAAGCAAAGAACTATTTCTTATATTTGTCAGGCATGGCTTTTGCTTTGACTGGTGAAAGATATATAGCATGAAAAAACAAGTATTTTTCCCATTTTAATTGTCAGGTGCCAGGAAAATCAGGAGATCCAGAAAGTTCAACGACAAAGGGAAATTTAAGAATCAGAAAGAATTCAAAGTGGGCTGCACTTAAATCTCTTGTGGGCGTGAAGGGACTCATGACTGATGATGTGTTTGACCCCTCCCTTGGGCTCAGCCTGGTCATCTCCTACATTAATTCTTGGTTTGCTTATAAAAGCTTGATTGGTGTATGAAAAGTATATATTATTGATTGAATATTGTCAGGTCACCTCTTACAAATATATTTTAAAATAGTTTTAATCTTTATTAAAATTGGAAATGGCAGTTACTGAATTGCCAACGCTGCAGCATCTTTTCTCTTCTTTTTATTTAGAAGAATTAGGCAGACAAAAAGTTAGCCCTGAAAATGAGTGGCAAAAAACCCCCACAACACATTTAGAAACCCCCCAAAGTAAAGAAAATTCTGTATGAACAGATTTTGTTTTCCACAGTATCAGATATAGAAATTGCTAATTTTCAGAAAGAAAATTAAGAAAGCTGGATGTTTGGATTTTTGAACAGTTTGATTTTTATCTTGAACTATTAACTTTTTATCACAAGGTGTAAAATCATCTCTATTTTGGATAGGTTTTCAGCCTCCAGAGGGCAAAGCTAAAGACTGCTTGCTGCAGATAATTTGCCGTGATGGGAAGGTGCTCAATCTCTGTGCAGAAAGTACCGATGATTGCTTGTGAGTTTTGAATGATTTGCCTCTTCTGCTTTGATTCAATTATAGGCGCTTAGTTACTTTCATAATGGAAGTAGCTCATATTTGCATAATTCATATATATATACAGATTGATGTAATCTGTATACATATATGAATTAGGTAAAACGGTAACAGTTTTGCCAATTGCAAAATGCCACTCTTTTTGTTTGCTCTTTTTTATAATCCCCAAATTGTTTATTTTTTATTTTCCTGTATCTGTATGTGCATCTTACCAGCAGCTAAGTATAGTTGTACATAATTTTTAAAATGTATTGCTGTACTTCATGAAGATATAAATGTTAATCCTACTTTCCATGACCTGTTGACTTTCTCTGATGACTTTTGAAGTTCAGGAAATGAACCGTGCTAGATTATCCTGAGTATTCAATTGCTTTGTTAGCAATTTTATTTGCTTTCTTCTTTCAAGATTAGCATATAGTAGCACATAACTGCTAAAATAAACTTAAGTTTCTCTCTGTCCATTGAAATATCACCAACATTATGTTGTGATCCTCTAAATCCTCAAGGTGAATATAAAATCATATGTTGCAAATGTTTTCTTATAGAAACTGTTGGTCACCAGAGTGATGGAGTCATTAGGAAAGGATTAACTCTTTTGGGGGTGAAAAGGCAGGCTAATAAAGAATCCTTCCCCTCCTCTCCCTCTCTAGCCAACACATTTTATATATTCTCAAAGGTGACAGTGGAAATACCAAGTTCATCCATAGAAACCTTGATCTGAGCCCTAATGTCTTGTGATATCTAAGGAGCAGAGTGACAGTGGCAGTGACAGGTGAACTGAAGTTGCTCTGAGGCATCACTATGAGTGGCATCTCTAACAAAGCACGTAGCAGTTGTCAGCTCAATTATGGCTTGGTTGTCTGTTTTTTAGGACTGCTCTTAGTCCTGAGGTCCCAATGCATGAAAGATGTCTTAAGGGGAAGTTGTAGTTGGTGAGGGCTTTTGAGATAAGGGCCTACTTTCAGTGGACTGCTTCTAGTTCTCTGCCCCTTCAGGCATTACAGTTTGCCGAGAGCAATGGCACAACCTCTAATATTTATTGTATGTCTCCCAGAGTCTCTCTCTCTCTCTGTCTCTCTGACATATAAATACACATCCACACACACATATGAGATAATAGAAATTTGGTTCCATTCTATGGAACACTAATCTTTCAATATTTTTTCATATAGAATTCATAATGTTTTCTTCCTGCAGCCTTTCTACTTTCACTCTGCTTTCTTTCATTCCTTTCAAGATATTTTTTCCCCCATGTTTCATTCTTGAGACTACCAAATATGGGCAGTTCCATGCTCAGAATTACTAATCATACTGGGTGACATTAGTTTTGTTTTCCTAATATTTAACATTAACATAAATGGAAGATGTTTTCATGATAGTCTGAACCTCAGTGGGGAAAATAGGACTGTGTGTATTGTCACTAAGGGATGTGAATTTTTCATAATGATAATGAGGGATTGAACCCTTTCCCTTCTAATGCCTTTAGAAATCAAAAGACACCATGCTGTCCAGTATCTGTCCATACTTATTGGGGGCCAGAAAACATGGCTTGCTCATGAAGAATTTATCTAAGCAAATACTGAAATTTTGACTGTCCAGATAGTGAGTTAATTTTTAACGAGCCATTGTTCATCACTATTTAAAGAAAAACTGGTTCTTTGCTCCACTGCTAGTATTAAACACATTTACATTGCTTCATTCCACAAATTGTAGGGAGATCTCAAGGATATTGAGATGACCTAGGAAAGTACTAATAACTTGGGCCAGTCTTCCCATAATTATCAAGCAAATAGCCAAGGTACAATTTTATTGCTTCTAAGCAGCTTTTTGGCAACATAGGCTGTCAGAATATGCTGTATGTTGTCATGTCTATCCTAGAGGATGGTACCATAGTACATTTTCATGTCAGCAGCGTTGCGATGATGATCAAGAACTTAGATGTGGGGTTTGATAGTCCTGCCAAAAAGAGAAATTAATCTAAACTTATATTTTAGACAGGATGGGTATCTGTTTTACTTTTTATATATTGTCCTTAGAGTAGTGGGAAATGGTTTATAAGTAATGTATTATATATAGCTGAAATGGATTCCTGTGACTGAGAAGAAATTCTTTTTGGACCTGTGTTCTCACATGAAGAATAGTTGACCATTGGTGATCTGAGATGACTCTGGAGAAGTGGAAATGACAATGTAGCTAAAACCAATGGACCGGTGATGAGTTGGGTCAAAGGAACTTCTCTGGCCAAGGAGAGAATGAGAGAGCACCTATTTGTATTCCAGATAGCTACTCCTTATAAAGTAGCTGCTGGATAATTGTTTACTTTTGGGTTTAAGCATTTAAGGATACTGGGCTCATCCAAACTCACTTTTAAACACTTTTGGATTTATTATTTTAAAGTTAAAAGAAGTCTTCCAAGCAACCATTTTGAAAAAATACCTGAAAATGAGAAACTAGAAGAGACTAAAGTTCCAGGCAGTAAAAAAAGGAGAAAGAGAGAGAGAGAGAGAGAGAGAGAGAGAGAGAGAGAGGCCTATCTTTTATTCTTGAGTCAAAAGAGGAACAATGAAACTGTGAAACATACAAAATGATAAATTTGAGACATTTAAAATAATTTTTGAAAAGTTGGGAGAAATTTATATCTAAATTGACAGCAATAATTATTGTACCTGTTGATACATTCTAAAGATGGGAAAGAAAATAACATGAAAGAATTTATAGACTGACAGAATGAAAAAGTGAAACAAATTCCAATTGATGTAGAAATATTGGAAAATAAAGAAATTGTGGATTATAAATTAGAGATAACAGCCAGATTGGAAATACAGATGATAAGTCAAGAGATGAAAAATGACTTGGACAAGACTTACTGGACTTAGAGAAGAGGTTTTCTAAGCCTTGAAGAGATCTCTGAGATGGGAGAAAGAAAATTTGATTGGAGATTCAATCCTATGACAGCAGCTTGATGAATTAAAGATCAAAATTGTCAGAAGCAAAAGAAAGGAATATAAAGTTGACTTGTTTGATCAGGGTTAAAATAAATATTTCTATAAAATTGTGGAAACCCTTTGTGGACTTTTTGCCAAAACCTGGACAGAAATAATGATGGGTTTGCAAGTGTATAGAAGAGGGGGTTATCAGAAGAAGTGAATTATGTATATAATTTTATGTGGGTGGGGACATATTAAACATTCCTGCACTTACTGCAAGGAATTACTTCTTTAAATATTTTTAATATTTTTTTCTTTTTCCATTCTTTTGTGCACTTTATATTTTATTTATTTTTACTTTATTTTCATTTCTGATTTTGGTTTATCTTTCAATATTGTTAAACTCTTTAATAAAAAGGAATTTAAAAAAGAATAGTTAACAATTTTCTATAAGATCTATCAACTGGTGACCAAAGAAAAATTTCACAAAACATTAGAATTTTTACTATTAAACTGGTTCAGTTATAACTGGTAATTGCATACATAATTTGATCTTTGCTAGTGATTTGTTTCTTTTCATGCTTTACTTAGCTTATGTTTCTTGTAGGGCTTGGAAAATTGCTCTTCAGGATGCCAGAACAAACGAAGTGAGTATTTTTTGTTGTTGTTGTTATCTGTGGTGAGAGACATAACTATTTATTTGTTATGATTTTTATTCCACTTCAATAATATAATTCTAGGCTGCTTACAAGCTTTACTGTTACTGATATTTTAATAATTAGTAAAAATGTAATAAATAGATGTTTCAGAAGAGGGTGCAGAGGATGTTTTTAGTGAGATTTGGTGTACTCATTTTTCAATTGAATAGGTTTTGTAAATCCACAAAGAGAAAAGGGAAAAAAAAGCCAACTGCCTTAGGCTATAATCCAACCATGAAAAAAACCAACTGCTTTAGGCTAATCCAAATATTCCCATTATTTCAAAAATATAAAAAGCCCTCTATTTCCAAATAGTTTCTATTATAGTTATATCCAGGGTCAGAAGATATGATTGTAAAAAATCTTTTCTAGTATAAAGTCACACACAGTTCTTTTTATTTACAATGGGTTAGTCCAAGGTCAGCAACTTCTCCAATTCTTTTTGTATTGTTGTAGTATCTCCTCTCACCACTAGATGTCTGTATTAATTGTAATGTCTATGTCCAGGTTTAAAAAGATTTTTTTAAATGGTTTCTCACAAAAAAAAAAAAAAATCCCCACATCATAAAGGTTAGCAAAATTTTCTTTAAATCAGTCCCAGTTTCATTTTTGTATATTCTTTTATATTCCTTAATTTCATTCCCCCATTTAAAACTTTTCGCCGCTTTTAACTACCTTCCTCAATGGTCTTCCTGGGGTCTTTGCTTTGGAAATTATCCAATCTGGGGATTTATATTTCTAAGTCCACAGGGAAGAGAAGTAAAAAATAGTCTCACCCAGATCTTAGCACATTGTTAACAATCAGCTTTTCAGTGGCATGCTGTGGCATGCCGCAGTTCTTTGCTTCTTTCCCGGTTATCTATGACTTGGGCTGCCTGTGCATTTACCTGCAGCCTTTCTCCCGTCCTTTTGAAGAGGTTCCTCGGTTCATTTGGGCTGACCGCCATCGGCTCCAAACTCCCAAGGCTTCTCTTCCTCTTTGTCGCCTCGCCAGGGCAACTTTCCAACCTCAGACAGAGTGAAATCGTACTAGGAAACCAGAGCCCCGATTTCTTTCACCCATCTTGTCATGACACCCCAAGATGCTGCATTTTGTATTACTTCTAGCATCTTGGTCACCTCCAGTGGCAAACCACCTATAAAGTCTTTTGGTAATCTAGTCAAGTGATGAATAAGACTTGAGCTATTGACACCAGGACATCCTGGCATAGGTAGAGCATTAAATGGCACACCAGTCATGCTGGGTAGAAAGCTCCCATGGCTGTGGCTTCCACTGTTGTTAAAGCACAGTTGCTTTAACTGGGAGTCCAGTAATAGTATCCCCAAGTTGTGAATCCGCTCCTTTAGGAAGAGCACAACTCCATCAAGACCAACAGTATTGGATCACTTTGCTGTTTATTGATGAACAATAACTCTTAATTAGCTCACTTTTCCATTTGGGACTGTTGAGAAAGAACGTGCAGAGCAGGTTAGCTGTATGATTAAGTATAAGTCTTTCCAAAAGCAACACACTGGGCAATATCTGAGCAACGCTAGTTGACAATGTGCATTGTGTCTTTGAAGAAAATTGGCAAATTGCTAGGATCGATGCCACATTTGACATTGTTCATTATTGCATTTATTGAGTAGCCCAATCTGAGGGGGGGAGTAGAACATAATGACACTGCTTACCACTTTTTATCATGTTTGTTACAGATTCTGATTAAAAGGGATTATTTAAATGCAAGAGCAGAATCTGCAATTGAAGTCCCCTGTATATGTATAATAAAACATAAGCATTTGGGGATAAAGGAAAGAAGTGAGCATTCCATATATGGCCAACTATTTACTTTCCCAAAGTTAAACTGTAGGGAATTTTTTTAAAGAAGTATTTCCCTTCCCTTCTTTTCCCTTCCTTTCCCTTGCTCATGAATCTAAAGTAAACCTTGGGTAAGGGACAGTGGAGGCAGAGTTAAATTCATGAATAGGTCTGTTCTATCAATTCAAGCAGCTTTGGTGACTGGTCTACTCAAGGTTTGTTGGATTACAGGTCCTGTCACTTTGCTGAATGAGGTGGTGGGACCTGTAATCCAATACACTTGAAAGGAGCACCAGGATTATGCAAGGAGACTTCAGTGTCAGTTGAATGTGAGGTTTGTAAAATAACAACTTGTTTTGTAAAAAGCCACAATCTGTTTGCAGAAGTGAAAAGAGGGAAAGAAATATCCCCAGTGTTATGTACTCCTGGCTACTTTCCTTCCTGACCAGAAGCAAGCTCGCCTGACCAATAACCAGCCAAGACACAGTGAAGGCCTTTTGTTTTGTTTATTGCAATAAGCAGGGAGATAAGCTATCAAAGCTTGGTTCTCTCCAAAGTTTTAACCCAAAATATTTCTTTTTATACATCCCTTGTCCCGGCCGCCACATCTCTCCTCTTTCCCCATTGGCATAGATACTATGAGGTTACACTCTTTCCGACCGCCTCCTACATATTTCCTGCTACATACTAAATCATACATCACATGTACATTAAAATTAGGAGATAATTTATGCAAGGTGTGTCAGTTAATATTAATCAATTAATTGCGCATGCTCAGTTGCCTGAGTTCTGGCCCCCTTTTTTATGACTTCTTAGAAAAATAGGTTCTTTCTTGTTTTGCTAGTTATCTTCTATTACAGATGTTTTCTTCTTCCTTTTCCCACTCTTAAGACCCAGCTATTTTTGCCTACTTATTTCCTTTACATCTTTTCTTTATGCTAACCTTTCCTCTTTCCCACCATAGCTTCTCTACTCAGTAAATTTCCACTGCAGCAAATTCAATTTTAAATTTCTCTTTCAATATTAAATTTTGAGGACCTTTCTTTTACTTCTATCACCAGGGAGAGCAATATAGCAAGAGTCTTTTTTTTTTTAATAAATAGTGCTTTATGTAATACTTTAAAAACAAAGGATTCAGTCATTACCTGCACAAAGCCAACAAAAATCGAGTTGTTTTTGAATAACAAAACAATTTTTCAAAACCTGGTGGGGCTCCTGATTGGGATTCTTATTCTCATTCTTATGGTACTTATCTGAATGGCAGAGTGGGCTCTCGAAAATAGTTTCCTGCACAGTGCCATTCATTGTGGCATTTCTCACCTGCTGAAATAATTGAGTAATTAAAGACACCCAGAATTTTGAAGTTTTTCTCTTTTTTGTAAGAAGTCTGTTGTCTGACTATAGGATTAATTTTACTGTCGCAACTACTGCCAGCCTGATCTGTGTTACTTTACAGCGGCATCTCCTATTGTATTCATCTGGAATTCTGTATGCACTTACATTTGTCATATTTCTGATATTAAATAGAAAGCAAAACTGAGAGGCTTAATTTGTATAGTATGCATAATATATATTAAATTATCCAGCTATTAGTTAGAAGCACTAGTTGAAAAAAACCCTATCTTTGTCTTTTTCAACACACACCTTTTTTGTGCAAAAGATATTAGTTTCTTTGCCTTTCTTAGGTTTGACCTGCATAGTTGCAGTTGTCATTTAATAACATGGCCAACTTTTGCTGTATTTTTATGTTGATCTGCCCAGGCTTATGTTGCTTCTGAGGTGATGTATGATGACAATGCGATTTCTTCAGCACCTCCTCCATACACAGCGTATGCAACACCATCACCTGAGGTACTTAAAACCAAATGTGTAAATAATTTAAAATGGTAGTAATTGTCATGTTTATATCATCATGCATTAAACTTGCCGACAGGATCTCTGACTTGAAGCAGGACTGTTAGAACTATTTATTTCTTCATACAGGTGTTTTATGCCCCAATTCCTAATTAAAGCATAGCCTGTGGCTTCCTAGTCCTGGGACCCACCCAGACACTTGTGGGCACCAGTGGATAGAACTCAGCCTTCCCTTCCCTGTTCATTCGATTATTTTGATTGAAAGCCAATAAATGTGAAGTTAAGGTGTGCAAAGTATTTATCTCAAGTTTATCCTTTGTTTCTGAGGATTAATCTGGTGCCCATTAGATCCTAAAAGCACTCTTACTAAATTTAAATTGAATGGTGGTCTTTGTGTGTGCTAGCCAGTCCTGAAAAAAAAGGCTTAGATAGCTAATGACAGAAAGAGCATCCTAAAAAGGTAAAAGTGGTGCTGGGGAACAACCTAATCTGTTTGACTTTCTGGTAAATAAGTGTTTTGTAATTGGCCATATTCACTCTCACCATTTCTTTCACAAATGCTTCTAACATGACTATAATTTCCTTAGGTTTATGGTTACCCACAATACAATGGTGCATATCCAGGATCTCAGATCATCTACACTTCTAATGGACAGACATATGCTATACCTTACCAGTACTCAAACCAAGGTACTTGCTCTTTTTATTTTTCTCTTGAACTGATTCATAGTTTAGAGTCATTTTAATAAATAATAAAGCATTGTTTTATGCTACATTAGGGGAAAGCAATCCTTTTGCAATCCAAGCTGTAGAACCCCGTCCCCCTCATTGTTTCAAATTAGAGAAGGCTAAGCAAAATAGTTGGATTAGGTCTATTGAGAAGCTTAATACTCTTATTTTAGGGTTATTGGTTTTTTTAATGAGTAATTTGTTATTGAAATTTGAGCCATGTGATCTTGCAACACCAGGCAAGGAATCCTATGTAGCCTAGAGGTTGTCTGATTTTGCTGTTTATTAAGAAATGGGGAGAAAGTGTGGTGGAATCTCCAATTGGAGTGGAGAGAAGGGTGGAGTAAAGACATTGGCAAGCTTGGAATCGCTCCAGGGGAGAAAGCAGCTGAGGCCAGACCCTCCCTAAAATTCCTGAAGCTTTTATCTGTTGTTCCCAAGAGAATGCAGTTAGTTTGGCTAGATTATTATAAATAGGCTAGCAAAAATAAGGAAGCACCTCTGTTCAGCTAATGGTGTTGTTTCATATTCAAATGAGTTGTCCTTAATGGTGCTACATCTACATGGAGGGAAGTAAGCAGTGGGTTAACACAAGGTTCTATCTTAGGCCCAGTGCTCCTCAGTATCTTCATAAATGAGGAAATAGAAGGGGAACTCATCAAATTTGCAGATGACACTAAGCTGGCAGGAGTAGCCAACACCCCAGAAGACAAGCTCAGGATCCAAAAAGATATTGACAGACTTGAACAATGGGCCCTATCCAACAACATGAAATTTAATGTGGAGAAAAGCAAGAGCCCTAGTGAACAATCACTTAAACATGAGCCAGCAGTGTGCAGCAGGAGCCAAAAAAGCTAATACAATCCTTGGTTGTATACACAGAGGCATAGAATCAAAAACACGTGAAGTATTAGTACTGCTTTATAAAGCCTTAGTAAGATCACACTTGGAATACTGCATTCAGTTTTGGTCACCACATTACAAAAAGAGACTTTGAAAAAAAAAGTGCAAAGAAGAGCAACTAAGATGATTAAAAGCCTGGAGACTAAAACACATGAAGAATGTTTTCAGTATTTAGGTTTGACTAGTCTAGAGAAAAGGACTACTGATAGCAGTTTTCCAGTATTTGAGAGGTTGCCACAAAGAGGAGGAGGTCAATTTATTTTCCAAAGCACCAGAGAGCAGGACAAGAAACAATGGATGGAAACTAATCAAGGAGAAAAGCAATCTGGAATTAAGGAGAAATTTCCTAACAGTGAGGACAATTAACCAGTGGAATAGCTTGCCGTCAGAAAATTGTGGGTGCTTGATCATTGGAGGTTTTTAATAAGAGGCTGGACAGTTACTTGTCTGAAATGGTATAGGGTCTCCTGCTTGAGCAGGAGGCTGGACTAGAAGACCTCCAAGGTCCCTTCCAGCTCTATTCTGATTAACATGATTTCTTGCACCTGAAAGAATTTTATTTATCCTATTTTACATCTCATGTGTTTACACTGAACCAGTAACTATTTTGGAAGCAGTTCTATACATACTTATGTGGAAGTAAATGCTACTGAATTTACTGATCATTTATGAGTAGATATTTAGATTACACTACTGAGTCTGTCCTGTTTGCATCCACTCACAGCGAAATGTACTCTTTTTAATAACTTAGTAATTTTAGGATTAAGTTTTAGTTTTGTAGTTACAGAATTGATTCCATATGACAAACACATTCAAACAAGACCTCCTGCTCTTCCTAAGTATTTTGGAGGATTGGGAATGAGTTAAACGAGAGCAATATCTGAATACACGTGCAGTCTTAACTCTTTTACTCATGCTCCTTCATTTACCCCTTTTGTGCATATGTGAATATGTTAGAGAACATTATGTATGTTCTCTAATGCTCTTTGCTATTAAATTCAAGCTCTTCTAGTTGACATTCACTACAAAACTTCTTTTATTACTTCCTGATAAGATATAGCCCAGAATGTGTTGGGTGTCCAATTTTATGGAGATCTAACATTCCTTGTGCTAGAACAATACGAAAATAAACAGAAAAAAAGAAATTATTTCAAGTTTAGTTCACTGATATCCCCTTTTGTTTTCTTCAGGTCCCTATGGCCCGCTTCCTGCAAACCATGTCATCATTCGAGAACGTTACCGAGATACTGATGGAGACCTGGCACTGGGCATGTTGGCTGGGGCAGCAACAGGAATGGCCCTGGGCTCATTGTTTTGGGTGTTTTAGATTTCCTTTGGAGTTTCAAGTTGAGGGAGATTCTTATTATTTTCTGTGTATAATAATATATATATTGGTAAAGTAGTGTATAGGCATTTCATAAGTTCTAACAATATTTTGGCTAATGATACACTGGAATTAGTTAATCACATTTTTAATCATCCAGAAAGTTCACTTTAGTTAAGAAAGGTCAAGTAAGTTTGAGCCTATGTAATGATAAACAAGTAGCAGTAATAACAAGTGAAGTATTACTAATGGTGGCTAAACAACCACAACTGACTTCATTTTACAGTGAAATATTAACAATTCTCATAAAATTACTTCAACTGCTGCCTCAGAAGGAAACTCAAATATCTTTTTAAACACTCCTCAGAGACAAAAGATAATGACTTAGTATACACTCTGTGGAAAGGGAGAAGGAGAGAGAGAGAGTTTCTGTGTGTGGATTCAGGTGGTTCTTGTATTTCAACAGTTGGTAAATATTCACCCTAAAGGCAGATATAAATCCTCCTAGATCATTAAGCCACAAACACTCCAACATTTTGCTTTGAAAAAATTCCAGTCTGTACTTGAAGGAGTTTGATGACCATGCAAATAATGCCAGTGTCATATAAGTTGCTATCTTATTTAGTTGGAAGATTAGCAAAAGCCTGGACATGATCCTCTGGATGTGCTATGCACTCTTAGCCAAGTGGAGATTGTTATTTAGAACTCTGGGAGTTGTCATTCCATCAGGGGGACTTTAAGTAGGGAATGGTGACTACCTATTAACACCCTCAATTTGAGAATTTTAGCTGTGCCAGAATTAGTCAAGTATCAAAATGTTTCAACCTGCATGTGAAAACAATTTGGCTTTGGGTCTTGATAGATAGTAGGAGATGTTATAGTTCTACTGGGCATTTAAGTTTTTTATATTCAAAGTAGAATAATTATAGAGAATGGAGGCTAACAAAAACTTATTCATTTCTTTTTATTGCAAATTATTTTTAATAATTATTTACCGTTCTGGGACATTGTAAAGAGGCTTGTCCTTGGTGATTAAGCCTGCTGTGCATACAAGAGTTCCTGATGAGTTTCATTTTCTACTTTTAGCTAGCACACAGTATTAACTGTAAGAACCTGGTAGTTTTATAAACAGTGCATGCATGTCCTGTTGAAATCTTAAGATCTGCATACAATTCTTCCAATTGTCTTTTATTGTCTGTTCTTCGTTTTGTAAGTTAAAACTTTCACAAAAGTAGACTTGGGTGATGCCAAGTACCATACAGGCAAGTGCTAATACAGTGTGCATGATATCCTGTTGAGATAGGATAATTAATTCAAAGCTGGGGATGGCACAAGAAATCTTATTACTGGTTTCTGTAAGCTTTGCATTAAGCATATGCTGTTACTTTTTGCCTTAGGTATATATGCAACAACAAAATTTAATGTGAGATATGGGTGTCATCCATCATTGTTGAACTTGGAAGCTTTCTTTTAAAGAAATGAATAATCTCTCTGCTAAGATATTTTTATTGTTTTGATGAATGGATCCAGTCTAGGACATTTCAAGTGATCACACTGTAAATTGAAGATAATAAATGTTTCATAAATATGATACGTATTTAAATAATTTATGTTACTTTGAAATATATAGGTTACATTGGAAGCATTTCAGATTTAAGAAATTGATTATATAGTGAAAATTAATACTAGCTTTTGCTCTTTTTATGTAACTTGTCAAGTGCACCTTTTATGTCTTTCATAGATTTATCCGAATCCCCTATTTCTATGTACCGTATTTGTATTTTGAAAGAAAATAAATAAATTTAGTCTTTGAACTGCTGGCAAGTTTAAATTGTACATATCCCTGGTGTTTCCTGATAATTAAGTTAGGCACCAAAGATTATCACATGATGTATCAAAACGATAAAAGTAGTCTTTTATTGGAACATTTATACTCTTATTAAGCAGAATTCTTTGAAGTTAGAGAAAACTACTAGTTTGATCTAATGGTTAAGGCACAAGGCTAGAAATCAGATAAATGTGACTTCTAGTCTCACTTTAAGCATAAAAGCTGGCTTTAGGCCAGTCATTCTCAGCCAAAATCATCTCACAGAGGAGTTGTTTCAAGGAAAATGGGGAGAGAAAGGAATAATAGGTATGTTAGCTGCTTAGAGTTATTTATAAAATAAATATACACAAAAATATATAAAACATTTTCTAACAGGATTTTAAAATGCAGTGGATCAATCAGATGAATTACTGTTGGATTTTAGTTAAATATAGAAGGAAGGAAAACAATCCTGTGTATCATCTATAGCAGCGGTCCCCAAACTTTGTGGCTTGGCAGCCCGACTGGAAGGGGGAGGGGAGAACTGGGTAGCGTGAGTGGCGAGCTGGCACACACACATACAAGTGCCTGCCAGCTCGCTGCTCATGCAAGTTGAGCCCTATGCACATGCTCCAACCAGCCACTCACGTGGCCCAATTCCAAATAGGCCTCTGCCTAGTAATGGGCTGCAGCCTAGGACTCCTGATCTCTAGAAGTGGTTCTCAACCTCTTCTTCACCACAGACCCCCTTTAAATACCTTTTGTGGCCATGGACCCCCAAGACTTAACTCAAGATTTAAATCATAACATTTCTTCAAGCCTTTGTGGATCCCTTGTTACAGCATCACAGTCCCTGAGGGTCTGTGGACCACAGATTGAGAACCACTGATCTATAGAATTCTTGGGGCAGGTCAGGCAGTTTGAGTTTATGCAAGGGAACTTACAGTGAAAGAAGTGCTATTTCCATATCCTATAAGGCTTAGGGCTACCCAATACTGAAAAGGTATGTGTGTATGTTGGTAATGGGGGTTGGAAGGAGGGAAAAATATAATGAATATATGTATGAAGGATTTGTTTTGTTTTGATTCTGAATGTTGGCTGCTGTGAAAAATCTGGACTTTGAAAAACAAGTGAAGTGGTGGGGACAAGAAATTGGAGAGATGACATAATTTTGCAATACGTCTTGAAATGTCTTACATAATGGTTGAAAAACAGACCCCCCCCCCAAACTATAATATGGAAATACAATTTAGCTTTCAAAACAGTTTTTTGGAAAAGAAGACTTTCTATGCATAAAACCAACTTATGGACCCATTCAAAGATAAAGAGGGAGCAAGAGGCAAAGTTACTCATCTTAGGACTTTGTCCTTACCTGCTTCTTTTCAAAATCTGATAAGTTGCTTCCAAACAAGAAAAGAAAATAGAGGAAGAGAGAGATTGCTATCATGAGTAAGAAATGCAAGATGCTTTCAGGATTGAAACTTTTCCAGAGACCAGAAAGTTGCGATGTTCTTGTTATCTCAGTTTTCAGGCTTCAACAATTATTTTTTCACTTTAAGATGCATTTGGAAACACGAAAGAGTATCAAGTCACACAGAAGAAAATCATTTTTTTTCTCCTTCAGTCTTATGTGGGTATCTGGCTGGTTTTTTTTAGCATACAACTGGAGTGTCCATTTTCAATAAAACCTTAAGAGGTAGATTTCAGGTTTTATTCAATATAAGAGGAATATATTGGCAATTGTCTCCAGCCCCAACTTAAATAACTGAGTAAAGACCAAATTGTGGTAGTGAGCTATTGAAAAAAATTCTACAGTTTTTTTTTAAATAAGTCTTATTTAATGTGATAGAAAATAAACTACTTGGAAAACAAAATACAAAACAGAAGAAGATGGTCATGTGTTTGATGTGTTCTTGCACTTAATTGGAAGTGTGTTATAATTATAACAGTGATATAATTACTCTGCCCTGATCATCTTATAATTGGGTTATTCCAATGCACTCTACATAGGACAGCCCTTGAAGATAACCCAGAAGCTACATCTACATGAGCTGCATTGGTTGCCATTTGGCCTCTGAGTGCAATTCAAAGCACTAGTTATTACCTACAATGCCCTGTTTAGTATCGGGCCTGGATATCTGAGAGATTGCTTGTCTCCAATAATCTCTGCCCAGCCCATGTATTCAGCAGAGTGGGTGAGCTCCAAGTTGCCTCCATTAAATATTGCCATCTTTTGGGACCTAGGAAGCGATCCTTCTCTATTCCAGTTCCCACTCTCTGAAACAGCATCCCCCAGAGATAAGGTTGGTGACTTCTCTCCTGGGGTTCTAGAAAGCTTTGAAAACCTGGTGGTGGTCCCAGGCCTGGGTTCAAAATCAATTTGCTGATTTTATTTTTTATTAAGTTATTTTATTCTGGGCTCTCTGATTTAATATTTTTAGTGTTATTTATTTTTATTCTAGTTTTGTACACAACTGAAATTTGGCAGCCGGTAAATTTACATAAAAACAAGACACTAACGGGCAAATTATATGAATATTTTGTCACTATTGTACAATCACTGTCGAGACATCTTTACCTTCCCTGGCTTCATATACTTGAATTGGATCTATATCAGTGATGGTGAACCTTTTAGAGACTGAGTGCCCAAACTGCAACCCAAAACCCACGTATGCATCGTCAAGTGCCGGGTGGGTGTGGCCCATTGGCTGGGTGTGGTCAATTGGGTAGATGTGGCTGCAGTGGTAACGGCAGACTGGGTGGGACTAAAAACTTCAATCAATCAATTCCAACTTTGCAAGATCTTTTTTTTTCCTGTGAGAAGTCGAAATTGACTGATTGATTGAACCTTTTTTTTTGTACATGGTGGCCTAAAGCGAAAAGGTTTTATAAAACCCAGCTGAAGGCCTAGGACTGGGGCAAAGGCGCGTGTGCCCACAGAGAGGGCTCTGAGTGCCACCTCTGGCACCCGTGCCATAGGTTCGCCACCACTGATCTATATAAAGATATAGTCATGAAGCAGATCACTGGCTGTAGGAAGTGTGAGTGGATGCAGATTGAGAAGAATAGAGAGAGAGAAAAGTAAAACCACTGGCATTCTACCACTAGGCAATGATAAAGCTCAAAATTTTCAGCCAAAGAATTAAACTAACTGGGTAGAAAAATCATTCTCTCTGTTCTGGGGACAACAGAGCTTTCAAAACTGAGTTAATTTGACCAGCTTACACTGTTGGAATGTTCTACTTTCTGAATACAATATGGCTTCTTCCCACCTTTACCTACTATAGACAAGATATTGACATTTGAGGGATTGCATATGTCAGTATACAAAATTTATACTTTGGCCTTTAAAACAGGCATAAGGGAGATAGCTGAAAATCAACAAAATATTATTTGGCATTACTTCCATTTACTGTTGCCCCAAAGCAAAAGGTACAGTTTTGCAAGTATTAAGAGAGATAAGAAGAGGCAAAGATAAAAGCATCAATTAAATGCATGCAAGATGCTGAATCTATTTCCAACTATATGAGCTTAGCTTAGGTTTTAATAAGGAAGATCCTGCCTTTTCCAAGATCAGAAGAGCTATCTAAATATTTATTTTCTTAAATAGCAGAATTTTAGATCCCTTTGTAATAGGACAAAAAATAAATGTTGACTATGAGACAGGATATCACTTCTAATTTTATCAATAGTGATAAAAGTATTCAGTGGATTTTTTTTTAACTTGAATTAAGTTAATGAATTCTGGGCTGTATAGAAAACAGAAAACAACAAAAATAATCAAATGAGCTAAAAACAACAATTAGGGACAAAGTTGGTGAGACATTACAATATAGGCAGTCCTTGACTTATGACCACAATTGACCCCAAAATTTCTGTTGCTAAGTGAGACATTTGTTTTTGCCATACTTTACAACCTTTCTTGCCACAGTTGTTAAGTGAATCAGTGCGGTTGTTAAGTTAGACAGTTGTTAAGTGAATCTGGCTTCCCCATTGACTTTGCTTGTCAGAAGATCACAAAAAGTGATCACATGACTCCAGGACACTGGAACCATCATAACCAAGCATCTGAATTTTTATTATGTGACCATGGGGATGGTGCAACTGTCATAAGTGTGAAAAATGGTCATAAGTCACTTTTTTTCAGTGCCGTTGTAACTTTGAGTAATGACTAAATGAACTTGTAAATCAAGGACTACTGTAATACATTTTGTAGTATTGATTTAATTAAAATATCTTAAGACCACACCATATAAAAATATAAGTTAGATAACATATCTAACTTATATAAGTTTATTACAGTTTAACTGTAATAAAAATAATCAGTCTTAAAACTATATTTTAATCCTATATATAACATTCTGTTTGTCAAAAAGAGATGAAAGAAAATGTTCCTGTTTTAAAATGTTTTATGTCATTCTTGAACCAAACTCCATCCAATATTCAGTCTGTATTGAATCAGCAGTCCTTGACCTGCACAAGAGAACCACAAGATGGCAGCCAAAAACAAGCAATGTAACAATATTAGATTAAATAGAGATGCATTCCGCATATTCAGCACAAATGAGGAAAGCTTTCACTAAGCAGTAAAGTAAAATACCTTCCTATAATTCTAATTTTTATAGATTGATGCCAAAACTAATGTAACATAATTTAGAGTTAATAATTAGAAAAATTATTTTAGGTGAAATGAACACCGTGTGATAAACAAGGGAAAGAAAGTTGCCTGAATTTTATTTAAAGAGGCTATTATCAAGATGAGACTAGCAAATTAAATTCAACTTACAACCATTCATTTGGTTACCATTTGAAGTTAACAATGGCACTAAAAACATATGACTTATGTACTTACCACCCTTGCAACATCCTCATGGTCATATGATCAAATTTGATGCTTGGCAAGTAGCATGTATTTATGATGATTGCAGTGTCCCAGGGTCAACCTTTTGTTATCTTCTGACAAGCAAAGTCAATGGAGAAACCAAAAATCACTTAATATTATTAACTTAATTACAGTGATTCACTTAACA